GATTTAGGCGAAAACTAATTTTTTCTCAAGCTTTATCAAAGTTGGCAAGCATTCGTTCCGCTTGGATAGTGTTTGGTGTTATAAGGACGATGTTATCAGCAAGGCGAAGATCGTGTAACTACCTATCATCGATTTTCACTCCCATATTATCCCATTCCAATGTTCGCATGACGTTCTGGAGGGTGCCGGTAAATAATTTTGGCGAGATGGTATCGCCTTGCCTAACTCCTCTTTTGACGTCAATGTTAATATCGTTGTAGAATGGTGATATCTTGGTTGTGAAATTTTTGTACAGCTCACGAAGAATTTTATGTACTGAGTAGGGACTCCTTGACTATCAAGGGCTTCCCAGACTGCTTCCATCTCAACTGAATCAAAGGCCTTCTGTAAATCGATGAAAGTGAGACAGAGCGGTCTTTTGTACTCCTGCGATATTTCGGTGAGCCTTATTATCATGTCGATGTGATGCACTTTACAGAATACTTTTCGAGGCTCTGCGTAATCACATGGATGTCCTTCGTCCAGTGTTCTGTCAGTCCCGTTTTGCAAGCGGATGAAAGGTTAGTTGCCAATACCATGGAGGTCGTCACCCTTTTTTAACAATAACGCAGTCTTGCTGGTCTTCCATTGAATACGAACCTTGCATTCTGACAGATAACGTGTGAAGAGCCTATCCAGTGAGTTTATGAGGACTGGCAGAAGGTTCTTTAGGTATTGTGATCTTCCGCTATGTGGACTAGGCGTTACTCGTTTCTTCACCGATAAAATAGCATGTCCGATTTCAGAACGAGGAACCGGTGAGAAGACATATCGTCCTCCTTTATTTCATGTGATGGCAGGATGACGTAGATGTTGAAGACATCCGAGTAGTAATCGTGTGTGATTTTCTCCACTAACTTACCGGAGGCTATAACCGTTCCGGCTGTCCATCGGAGCGCAGTCATCTTGGTTTTGTTGTTGGAGAGGTTTCGGTAGGCTTTGCGAATGCTCTTCCAAGCCGATGCAGCTTTGGCCATAACTGCTGCTCTTCTCTCTTGAAGATATTCTTTTATCACCTGTTTTCATGGTTTTGCCAGTTCGGACGTTGGCGGCTTCATGTAGTTCTTGAGATTCCACGTTAGAGCATCTGCTCGAGTGTTTATGATGACAAACATCTTTTGGAGAATTTCCTACTGCCAGATTTCATAGCGCTAACGTGAAGATGTTGAATGAACCGAGTGTAGTCCTAGTTTACGTTTTCTTACTTGATACTTTGTACTTGGATGGTCCGTCCTCACTTTTTCTGGAGCTCCAGCATAATCTCCATTTTTCGGAGTTTTGCTAGTTTACCCATTGTATTTCTCTCGAGTCCCGAGATCAGCCTGGCTAAAGTTTGCTCCGGGTCGTCATCACTACAGACAGCCGCCGCCTTTGTGGACCAGAGGGGATTTGCCACTGTGCGATTAGTTTGATACTAGGACGGTGGGGAATCCTGGTATTAGTTTACTCCTAGTTGGGTTTCCTGATGGAAACACCGGACTCCTCAGCTTGGGAGGCTGTGCTAGGGGAATGAATCCCCCGCTGTACATCACATCCCGGCACCCAGGAACATCTCCCAGCCACAATGAAGCGGTAGACCGTTGGGAAGACTATTATTATTATTTCCAATATTATTATTAGTATTGCCATTATGATTATTTTTGTTGTTATTACTGCTACTACTTATTAAAAAATTAGTGTTACAACTTATTGCTATGGGCCCGTGTGGCGCAGTGGTTAGAGGCGCCACTGGGACACACACGAGGAATCGATCCCCGCCCATGGCACACTAAGCCCTCTATCCCTCCGGGGTCGGCAAATTGGTACCAGGCTTGTCTGGGAGGATAGTAGCACTGGCTCGATACATCGGTAGGCCACCGCGTGTCATTGTAAGGGCCAGATATGCATTCACTCACCTCGAACGATGCTTATTGAAGTCGTATGCATGGCGCATCCCACAAGGATTGATCAACGCCGAGATCTTTATCCTTTACTTTCTATTTACTTATTGCTATTATTAATTACTATCGTTTTTATTGTTGTTGCCATTATTACTATTACGTCACCCGACATCTCATATATTACATTGTACTGCTCCCAGCACTTCTTGAATGCAATTCGTTTCTTCGTATCCACAGCCCACAAAGGTCTTCGAACATTTTTTGAGCGTGGGTTCGGCTGCAGCTTGAGGATTTTATCGTCCTCTTTGGTAATGCTGGTGAATGCTGGTCGAGTCAATACTCTCTGGAATCTTGAGATGGGCACTCAAGGACTTTCCTACATGGTTTAAAGGGAGTGAGCTTGTGTCAGACAGGTGTGGCATCAATTCCCCTAACCTGGAAGGTTAGCAGACTCTGTGGGCTCGGAAAGAGGTCGGATCAGAGCCTGTTTGGTGGGCCTTCTGCATAATGAGCGACATCACTTCATGTGCGCTACCTGCTTTCCTTATTTGTTCTGGGAAATTCAATCGTTTTTTTTCGACAAGAAAATGGCAGCGGGTATCCCGCTTGGGCCTGGAGTGACACAGGTTTAATCCTAGCTGTGATTCTTGCTGGAGTTTTAGGAATTCTCATCTTAAGCAAGTGCGCTCACGAACGAACTCTGTGGTGCACATCGCGGTTACATCGACGCCTCTAGAAACTACCTTGCAACGACAAAGGGCCATGAACCATTGAAGGGAATTTATTGGCGGGAAAGGGTTTAGAAGTGCGGTGACATATTGAAAAGACTTGTTATTATCAATACGATAACATCGCTTAAATTAACTACAGAAAAGAAGTCCCAGTACATGAGTTTCCGTATTGGTCAAATTTTGCTTGCTTGAAAGACCGCCATGTATCTGCCTCATTCGCTTATTTCTTCCATCTCTTTTAATTATCGATTTTTGCAGTCAATTCTTTTTAGGTTCTTTTTTTGGATCACGGAAAGTGCTTCTACATATGTTACCGATGAAATTTTGTTCGTTTTACTTTAAACCGGTTTCATGGCTATTATTGTCATTTTATCACCTTTCCAGACAAATGACATTCGCTTCACGTGTGCTGTTGTTCTCCACGTTTGTAACGCTATGTTGCCTACAAGCTCGTTCACAATCATGGAAAGGTGAATTATTCTTTAGCTGAATGTTTTTGGCCGTCAGGATCCGCTCAAGGTGGACCGTATACCTACCACATTGAGTGCATCCATTGTACTTCGCTTATTTACGGTGCTTTAGCAGCTGCATGAAAATAAGGTTGTAGGACTATCAAAGCCATGTGTGGGTTTTAAATATAAGACGGTTGTATCATATCAGCTAATTAGTGAATTCCGAGTATTACACTATACTCAATAACCTGGCGACTGACGATAGTTTTGACTCTTTGACACATTCTCAACGAAACCGACTTTACGACAACAGACGGTAATTTCTTCATCAGTGGAGTCAGGAATTTTATTCACTTATAGATGCGATTTTGCTCCATCGCCTTAAGGGTGTATGAACTTTTTGCAGGATGTTTTTCCAGCTGCACAAATACTCAGAATTCAAATTATCAAGAAATAAAAACAAGACTTTAATTCTTGAGATTTTAACGCTACTACGGCAGCCGCAAACACCAACTATGCGCAGGGCGTTGCACCAAGTTGGACGAAATACTGCTTGTTCAACTACATTTATTTGCAAAATATGGGTTTCGGTTAAAAAAAGCGTTAAACACGTTTCCTGGGTTGCAAAGATGAGAATTTCATCATGCTATAACAAGGGCGTTTATACGTTGTAGAGAATGATCCGCCCCCAACGGTTTATCGCCTCATCATGGCTGGGAGGTGTTCCTGGATGTCGGGCTGTGATGTACAGCGGAGTTCATTAGTTCAGCAGGGCCTTCCAAGCTGAGAATGAGTCCGACGTTTCCACACAAAAGCGCAGTTAAGAGTAAACCGAATCGAACTGATAATGATGATGATGGCAAATCTTCCTCTGATCCACATCGACTTCGACTGTCTGGGGTTGGTGACTACCTCAGGAAGGCTCCAGATAGGCTAACGTCGAGATTGCAGGTAATCATAATGGCTAAACCAGAAAATATCCGGCCTCAGTACCTCATACACTCGGTGCTCACGTTTATGACGACGGGCTGTGAGACAGTGGTGAGAAGAGACCAAACTTTAGGTTACACAGAACGTCATCTTGCTGTGCACCTATAGTTCGAGAACGGTCTCTCCGGAGGCCGACCTTTACGCTGTTCTTGATGCTGCTGATTGCATCGAATTCTATGTGATTGCCCTATAAGAGACTTAAACCCATATACGCTATGACGGAACCTTTATCATTCATGGATGGAAATTTCCTTTACGAAATGTCGGAGACGTCAATTTTGTTACACCTATCTATTCCCCATTTGGTCACCTCGCGCCATTCTTCATCTCCAATTTGCGTGTAAAAAGAAAGTCAGTATCGGGAACTGTTACTCACCAACTTGTACATCCGATGAGAGAGCACTGGACGCGTTTTGTAACAAGTTGGAGAAAGTAATCCATAAGAAGAAGTCATTTTACAAATTCGTTGTTGGAGACTTCAGCGCAAGGTTAGGAACGGCACATGAAAATTAATACAGTATAGGAAAAACCACGGATCTCTCTCGTATGAGGGATCTCGAGCCGGTTAGTGGCGAGGCTACGTGGCACGTCCCAGGTGGTGGATAGGAGGTTAATCGCGGACCAAAAGCGACCTTTGCTTCCCTGAGACGCAGGTGGATCCAGAGGATGGACTCCTGTTTCTGCTGCGCTGATTTGGCACATACTTTCTGTATTTGCTAGGCGTATTCATGCATCCGTGTGTGGGTGCGTTCTTGCTTATTCGGATTGTATTCTACGAGTCAATTCGGCCAAAAGCCTGCAATCAAGTGACTGAGAAGTATATGGGAGTCGGTTAGGAGTCGCCTCCCACAAATAAGCTCCTTCTCCACTGGCCGAGACGAGGAGACGCCAACCTTTCAACGCCGCCTATGACACCGGAAAAGAACTGTTCCTCGGAATATGCGACAGTAGAGGAGTCGGCGGCGTCGGCGTTCTTGTCAACACGAGTTTGTCCATGAACATCGATTCATTCGAACAACTTACAACCCGAATCGGACGTCTACGATTAAAAAGACGTGGATCAATTCCGCTTTTGACGATCCTCGTCGTTTAGGCGCCGACATCAAACTATGACGAAGAAGAAGTCGAAGAGTTCTATATGGACTTGGAGAAGTTCTATAGAGAAGACCACACATTCTTAAAGGTCATCATTGGAGATTTCAACGCCAAGATTGGACCAAGAAGAACGTCTGAAGAACGTCATATTGGAACCAATGGATTAAAATGGAATGAGCAGGGTGAACTACTCTCTGAGTTTATCATGGCGGCCAAGACCATTCATGGTAACTCGTAATTCCAGAACCCCCACCCTCAACGCTGGACGTGGGAGTCTCCCAATGGAGAGTTCCATAACGAAATAGACCACATCATAGTAAATAGAAGGTTTTGTCTAACCGATGTCGCTGTTGTCCCAAAATTCTACACGGGACCAGACCATCGCCTCCTTCGTACAAGATTCTATTTCTAGCGGAAAGGTGGAAAAGCCGCTAAATTCAAAAGGCGAAGTCCGAAAACAATCGTGAACTGGGATTTATTCAATTCATTAGTCGGCTGCCGGGAAGATACCGTTGCCGTTAACATTGATGAACAATACGATCGGCTCATTCAACATCTTCACCTTAGCGCTATGAAAGCTCAGAGTTCGAAAGCCACCAAGAGAGGTCTGTCTCCAGAAACACTCGAGCTGATACGCCAGTGTGGAATCGCACGAGCTGTAGGCAACCGCGAGCTAACGTCCGAACTTGCAAAACAATGCAGAGAGGCGATAAAAGAAGATCTTAGAGAGAGAAGAGCAGCAGTGATGGCCGAAGCTGCAGAGGCTGGGAAAAGCATTCGCAAAGCCCACCGAAGCCTCGCCAATTACACGACCAAAATGGTTGCTCTCCTGCTCTCAGATGGAGCAGTTACAGCGTCCGGAAAGGCAATGGAGAAAATAATTCACGAATACTACTCGGATCTCCTCGATAGCCACGTCCACCTTCCGTCATATGAATGTTAGGATATGTTATAGGATAGGATATGAATAGGTTGGATATGTTGTACCACCAGTTCTCCCTTCCGAAATCCGACGTGCCATTTCGTCGGTGAAAAATCGAACAGCACCAGGTCCGGACAGGATAAGATCTGGACACCTGAGGAACACTTCCGCCAGTCCTCGTAAACGCACTGACTCGGCTCTTCACACGTTACCTGTCTGAATGCAAGGTCCCTACTCAGTGGAAGACCAGCAAGACCGTGTTATTGTACGAGAAAGGTGAGCTGCACGATATTGGCAGCTATCGCCCAATCTGCTTACTGTCTGTCGTCTACAAACATTTCACTCGGGTCCTAAATCCTAAACAGGATCGACAGAACACTAGACGAAGAACAGCCATGTGAGCAAGCAGGGTTTCGAAGAGGAGTTAGTACGATGGACCGCATTCACACGATAACAAGTCTCATTGAAGTATCGGGAGAGTACAAAAGACTGCTCTGTCTCACTTTCATCGATTTACGGAAGGCCTTTGATTCAGTTGAGATGGAAGCAGTCTGAGAAGCCCTTGATAGTCAAGGAGTCCCTACTCAGTACATAAAGATTCTTCATGAGCTGCACAAAAATTTCACAACCAAGATATCACCATTCTACAACGATATTAACATTGACTTCAGTAGAGGAGTTAGACAAGGCGATACCATCTCGCCAAAATCATTTGCCGCCACCCTCCAGAACGTCATGCGAACATTGGAATGGGATAACATTGGAGTGAAAATCGACGGTCGGCAGTTACACCATCTTCGCTTTGCTGATGACATCGTCTTTATAACACCAAAAATTAGCCAAGGGGAACGTGTGCTTAACGACTTTGATAAAGCCTGTGGAAAGATTGGTCTTCAACTAAATCTCACAAAAACGTTGTTCATGAAGAACGGATTGGTTTCGCATACCCCATTCACGCTCAACGGAGCGAATATCTCCGAATGCTCCAGTTATATCTATCTAGGTCGGGAAATCGATATGATGAACGACCTAGATGCAGAGCTGAGCAGAAGAAAACGAGCAGCTTGGGGAGCTTTCAAGAGAATCGAGGATGTGGTGGAGAGAACAAAGAACACCCAACTCCGTGCCTGTCTTTTCAACTCAACGGTACTACCTTTCCTAACGTATGCGTCAGAAACCTGGTCGTTGGGTAAGCAGGACGAAAGGTCACTCAGCGTTATCGAACGCGCAGTCGAAAGGACGATGCTAGGAGTATATCGTTCCACACAAGTAAGTGATGGGATCCGAAGCTCAGATTTGCCTTAACGATCAAAAATCAAAGGTGCCGTTCTGTACGCCAAACAGTCGAAGATAAGGTGGGCCGGACACGTAATACCTATTAATGACAACCGATGGACAAAAGCCGATTAGTGACTGGATACCTCGGGATGTCAAACGTACTGCAGGAAGACCAGTGGCACGATGGTCAGAGTTCTCCATAAAAAGCCTTGAAGAAAGACATGATGCTCGACGAGTCCCTAGTGCAAGCAGAACTCACTGGGCTACTCTTGCACGCGACAAGGAAAAATGGAAGATTTACTGGCTCTCGCTCGCGTCACTCGACGATCAACGAGACTACAGGTGATACAGGTGATAGGAAAATTCGGAATAGCTGACCGGAATAAGAATAGATACCGTCTTATAGGACTCCTGTCCACAAGACTTTTTTTCCGTGGAAATTAGTTCTTCGAAGAGAAATAAAGTCGCTGATGGACAAGTGTCCTCATGATGCGACTGATGCGGAGATCTATCAAACTCTGGTGAACAAGAAGTAGTATCTCTTTGGCATCTCAAAGGTTCTTTGATTCTGTACGAGATCTGATCCTCGTCTTCTTCGTGCGAAGATTCGATTCACCCATAGGCTTGGGAGGAACTGCTATCGTAGTCTAAGAAAAATGAAACAAGTTGCATATGACGAAGATATTCCCAATGAAAGCTTGTCCTCATATGACTGGTAGATAAATGAAGGCCCGACCGAGGACTACACGCTGCTTTTCAAAGGATTTAAAACGTGTATCGAACTCCTGTCAGTTTCTCAAACAAGAACTTTACACCGAATTTCCATTACCATTAAGGAGTTACTCGAAATGAGAAGAACACTGAAGCTTGATCCTGCTGCAGTGCACCTAACGCGGCTGATAATAAATGCCAACTGTTGAAGATCCTTGCAGGAGGATTTATATTGGTATAGGCAGAAAAAGTTATTGGAAGCAGGCAAAAATGACGGAGCATGAAGAAGTGTGGTCGGGAACTTTGAGACAATAATGTTCCGCAATCCGACCTGATGGTGGAGGATGGGACTACCACTACACCACGCCATGATATGCAATTGATAGTGGAACGGTTCTGCACCAGTCTTCCGCTCTACAATACCCGTCTCGGACACCGAAATTCCCGCTAATAAGAACCGCCCGGGATTCCACTCTGTAAATCGATCGACTAAGGAACAGTGGAGTTGGCTTCAAAGAATGCAAGCGTCTCTTGGAAGACCACCCAAACGATGGGCCGACGTTTTCATGGCTAACGTTAAACATCTGCACTCACAGATCGCAATGATTTCAGATTTACAAGATGGGTTTCGTGGACATCACCAGTACAAGGCAGACCACTATTATGGATGACTAGTGTATTAGAGAAAAACAAATGGAGATTATGCTAGGGATCCCATAATCAGTGAAAACTGGCCATCCAAATATTCGAGTAACAGAAAGATCCGAGTACTTTAGAACATTTCATTTTATTTTTTGTTAATGAGGTTCACTATGATTGCCCAGAGGACAAAGAAACCGGTAACTCGTCCACGATTTGTTTGATACTTGATACTTGAACGACCCGTCCTCACTGGTTGTGCGGGCACCAGCATAATCACCATTTTTCGGGGATTTGATGGTTAAGCCACTGTGGTTTCCTGGAATCCCGAGGTCAGCCTGACCAAAATCTGCTCCTGGTCTTTACCACCACAGGCAATCGCAGCCCTTGTGGATCAAGAGGAAATTTGCCACCATGCTACTCTGATACCAGGATGATGGTGGATCTTGATATTAGTTTACTCTTATCTAGGTTTCCTCCTGGAAACGCGGGACTCTCCTTCTCACCTTGGGAGACCCTGCCGTTGGAATGAATCCGCCCGCTGTACATCGCAGCCCGACATCCAGGAACACCTAGCTACAATGAGGCAGTAAACCGTTGGGAGGTCCGTTCGCGATTTAAACACGCTAAATGCTAGTTTTTTCGAAAATGTGCAGTAAATAGTCGACAGTTAGTGGACTTATGGGGTTGAGAAAATAACAGAGTTATGGGAGAATTTGCTTTATCCATCTAGAGGTATAGCGCTACTACACACACTTTCTCCTACATTTTCCTGTTTCGCCTGTCAAACAGAGCTGTAAGAATTCTTCATTCCAATTCATACTTTCCCAGAGGCAGTCACGCTTTTCAACAAAAATATCTCAGCTCGTCGTAAACTTTATGAATTGAGATGGAAACTACCGCAATCTTAAAGTTTTGCTTACAGCATGCAAATTTCCTTGTCTGACAGCGATTAAAGTTGAGTTTTTCATGAAGGAGGAAGTTATAAATAAATTTGAAATAAAATTTGCATATTAGGAAAAATTACTTTAGGGTGATAGAACACAGTCTCTTTTACAAGTTTGTCAAGTTGTAAACTACGTAAATGCTCTGGCTATGGAGAAACATCGGGAATGACTGGAGAAGCGCCATTGTCCGTTATGTAGGTCATGCAAAGTTCAATTTTTTTTTTGGCAACAGTTCGATGTGTTTTATTTCCAATTGTTACGATGATTCATGATTATCGAAGCGAATGGTCGGTTACGAGGATTACTGAAATACCTTCAAATAAAAAAAATAATAAAAGCTCTCGGCGTTGATAAATCCCCGAAGAATGAACTATGCATTCGATTTCACTAAGTATCGTTGGAGGTTACTGAATGCATATCTGGCCTTTACAATGACTCGCGGTGGCCTACCGATGTATCAAGTCAATGCTGCTATCCTCCCATATAGGTCTGGTACCAATCTGCCGACCCCGGAGGATAGAAGTCTTGGTGAGCGCGCCTCCGACCACTGTATGATTTAGGATATATTGCATGCCTTGCGTACATGTGTATTTTACATTACATGTTACAAGTGAAGTCTAAAAGAAAAACGTGACAGGACCTGAAAAATCCTTCAATATCCAAACTGTGTTGAATCCCACTGACAAGGACGTACCCCTTGGGGTATGCCATACAACAAGCCACTCTGAGGAAGTCTCCTCGATGGTCTTATCATCATCTTACTTACTAACTTAGTGACAACTAACTACTTGTTACTGTCTAGTTACTACTGTTTTCACTAGCCTTACTTAAGTACTTACTTAATACTTATCACAAAGAAAAGTTTCTAAGTGCCGAATTCCAGTGTTCAAGCAAATGGATTTCTGCTTATCTTCATAGGTCATGCTGTCTATGCTGCACAGTCACCCTAACAACAGTAGCCTCTCATCGCAAAATGATGTTTCCAATGAGGTTTTTTCTTGTAAATTGTGGAGTGTAGAGAACAGCCTTCCACAATCCACTCCTGTTATTGAATCTAGGTTTGATACTGTATCTATAGAACGCAAAAACTATTGAAGCTGAAACCTACCATTGTTTTGGCGGCGTATTTTACCGTGTCAGGTAGCGTCGTTGCGAATGTGTTGAGTTTCTTTCAAATTTCCTTCGCTATCCAACACTCCTTGCCCATCCCTTATTTCGCATATTGAGACATTTTCCCACTTTGAACTAAAAGAGAGTGTCGTCGGCCTTGATAAGTCCAAGAAAGAAGCGCCGTGCGATAATCGACCACGTTAAGTGGTGAAGGGTGGTTGAATCCATATTTCACCTATACAATAACTTGCTGTAGCATAGTATAACACAGCGTACTAGTAACTTTGCTGTTATCCTCCCAGACAAGCCTGATACCATTTGCCGACCTTGGGGAGGTGGAAGGCACGCTGAGCCCGCCGTACTGTATCGAATCATGCACGTGTTGCAAGGCACTACTAGCCACTGCGCCACGCGCGCTCCTTACTTTTTCCTCGTATTTTGGCAAAAAGTAACACGATAGATTCCAAGCGATGACGACCGAAACAAATTGTTAAATAGGATGAAGTGCACAGTTCGACGCAGACTACTTATGGAAAACTTTATTCCTTTGTTGTTATCGTAGTTTCTTGGATACCTCAAAGGCTTCGTGATGAATTCTATCACAAATGAGGTGGTATTTATAGTTTCTGGTCCATCTTTTGTGCTGAATATGGTTCCCTAAAATGTTTTCGTGTCTTTCCAGAGAACGAATTTCTCGCCTGCGCCGCTGCACCGTCTTCAATCTGGAAGCCGTCGTTAATTCTTTATATCGTTCCTGTGTTTCTACTCGCTTTGGTTATGAGCCAAAAAATTTCGGGCAATATTCACATGATATATGATCAGTAAAGATCTACCTGGATACTAGTCCTTTCTCATCTACTTATAATCTTAGGCATAATTATACAATGCAATATTAACAGGGGTTTGTTACTGGTACGTATGAACGCTAATAGGACACTAGAAATTTGTTTGCCTTTGTTGTATTCTGTGAAAACAAGTACTTCAGTAATAAAGTTTCCACTTAAACGTACATGTATCCCTTTCATCGCTTACCAAAGGTGTATTATATAAACATTACTAGATGATGTCATCTTCGCACTGAATTTAAAAACATTGTTGTGTGATTTATTATAAACATCATTACGGTGTAAATGTCTTCATTGATAGGAATTACTCTTACAATTATACTCTGTTGAGAAGCTCACAGGAATACCTCAAATACTTGAAAGTGTTGGAAATGCTCCAGCTCTTCGTTTTATTCACCCGTAGCCAGAATGAGCCAGACATTACGATTACAGCTGAGCCCAAAATCTCTTCTCTATGTTCTGCATGTTTTTTCTCGATTATTAAGGTATGTTGCGTATGGTATTGCATTGGATGCTGGTGTGGTACATCTTAATGAAGAATCGTGAGAGACACATGAGCTCTGAGTCATCCTTACCGGTGTCATCCAAGACCGTCATTAGAGACGATTACTGACAGCTACTGATAGGAGCACGGCATGTCATATTTTGCCTACCTAGTTTAATACTATTAGGAGGCGGACAGCACAGTGGTGGTATGCCGATAAGCACGAACACAGTTCTGGTTCGATGGTTCTGCTCCGGGGCTCATCAAGCCTCTCTACCCTTAGTCTCTGAGGGACGCGCCATGCATTCGACTTCATTAAGAATCGTTGGAAGTGGTTGCGTTCACATTCGGTCTTTACAATGGCTCGCCATGGCCTACCGATGTATGGGGACAGTACTGCCATCCTCCTAGACAAGTTTGGTACCAATTTCCCAACCCTGGAAGCATGAAGGGTTTGATGGCTCTGGGCCACGGGGATCGATCGCATGTGTATTGCAGCGCTCTTCCGACCATTGCGTTACGCGCGATTGTAACAGTCAGTTATCACTCAGATTACGTGTACTCGTATGTGAGTGCGTTTCAACTCATGTGTGTAAAAACTGATTTGCGTAAGCTGAGATACGTGAGAGCTATGGAGATATTCGTTTCCTTTGGGATCGTTTCTTTCTTTGCATAGAAATTTTTCGCTATACTTTTTGTAGTCATTCAATAGTTTTACGACACAGATCAGAGTACTGGATAACAAGTCTGAAAAGCCACTTTCTACAATTAGTAACTTATAGAAACAAATTTCCTCGGAAGACCTTAGTTCGTTGGCGAGAAAGTGTTGTTGGTGAAAAGAACATAAAGACTTTAGATGTCTCAACTGTACTTAGACATTGAACTTCCGTACTTCAAGAGGAGATCTTTCAAGAGATTCCTATGAAAGAGTCAGGCATTCGTCAGTGTGCTTCCACAAAATTTGTCTAATTAAACATCGTCCCCAAATAAATTTACGATCTTCAGTCTTGCGAGCTACATTTTCTACGTACTATTTACAACCTTTACAACCCACAACTTATATATTTATCATTTTTATATACAACTCACATTCACCACAATTCGAAATCTTTACGACAGCACTGTGGTTGTGTGATAGAGCCCACAGTACTAAGTTCGAGATATTTCAAAAGCATGGAGCAATGCACGAAAGGACGTGCTGAATATCTAAGCCAAGAGGAACAGAAAACACTAATACAGGACAGTAAAACCGAAGTATATAGCGAAGATTATAATAAAAGCGGTCGAATCATTTGAAGGTAGCTGAAATCGACCGGCATGAGTTGACATCAACTCATTGGTAGTACACCGCAAATGAGGGGTCAGCGGATGCACCAGCCACATGGATTTAGGCGTCGATCTCTATGTGTTAAGGTGGACCCTAAGGGTTCAAATTTTTCCAATGGAATGTCACGGTCTCTCCATCCTGATTTTAAAATACGCAGATATCAGCAATCTTTGGAGCCGCACAAAATGCCTGCAATATTGCGTAAACTGCGGTTTTGTCGAGATTTTGACACAAAAGAATGGCTTGAAGAGAAGGTGCAGCACAGCACTTCTTGCTTATGTCATCATTCATTTGACTCCTGCCCTGAGACAAACCAAGCACTTCGTAGTTCCCAAAATGGCGAATTACAGACACACTTAGTCCTGATGAGTACAACAGATCCGCGCATAGGTTCAGCTTCACAGATCATTTTATTGCTCAGATTCTGCTAGTTGCAATCGATTTCAGTGAATCCAAAGTGGTTCTTATCATTTTCGAAAGGCTAAGACCTTATACGTAGGAGAATATGGCTGTCCATGAGTAGCTGTGAACCGCCGACTTTTCTAAAGTCTCATTGATGTTGTTCCCTTGATTTTCAACGATAATGAAGTCATTTTTTTGCAGAATGTTGGCAAATTCCCTTCTATGCACAACATTGTATGGGAGGTGCAAGGAAACTCTCAGATCTTTTCTAGTCACTCATCTTAAGAAGGCTTCAACGTCGCAGGGCAACACTGTTACGGGATCGAAATCAGATATGAAGGTATTCCTTTACTTTTTCCGACCAACCTCTGTCTTTACCTTGTTTTATTTGCTAGGTATTACTTCTATCAGAAGCCTATAGGGGTGTATCTTCTAAGCTGAAAGAAATGTATTCTAAAACTAGCTGAGAGACAAGAGAAACGAAGGACCCGCATGGTGTGGTGGTGAATGCGTTAGCCCCCGGAAAGGGTAATAACGCGTTCGTTCCCCGCCGCAGACACCTGCTGTCCAGAGTTTTGCAAATATCTCGGCATCGTTATGGCGGTGTCTTCTTTCTTAGAAGCTACATTGTAATTTAGTATTGAAGAGATCGTTTTAATATTTCCTCATGTCATATTTGAGACCAGATTTCGAAAGGGATCGCAAAGCTTGGAGAAAAAAAGAAGCAGCGGTTATTTGGAAACATCGATGTCCCAATCAATTTTAACTTCCCTAATAAAAGAGGAATGCCTGGATATGATCCGGATATCCCAGTTTCCGAAATATTGAAGGATATGCCGAAACTACTCAAAAATCAGGCCAAGGTGAGAGGTCATATTTAGTTTAATACTCAAACTATATACAATCTAAGAAGGTCTTTGAGCTAAAGAGGAACTTTTCTGTGCTGTTTTCTGAACACTCAGAAGTGATAAGCATTTAGTACAATCTAGTGAAGCTGTGCTCCGTAATGGGGTAAATTTATTCTTAGCTCAGCTTTCATAGGGAAATATCGAACATGTGTTCCATTTGAATCTAAATATTGAGGTTTTAGCTACTGAAAGAGGAGATCTTGTCGACTTCTCTAACCGTTGAGAAAACAGAATTGCAAGAAGACCTTGGTGCACTTCGGCACAATGAAGCCCGGATCGAGTGGAGGTTTGACACACCTGAGGCAAGTGCGATCCAAATACTTTGCACTGAATTCAAACCTTATTCATATTAGTGTTCTCTTTCTGTTAAAACAAGATTAGCAACCCAATAACAGGACCTACTACAGTCCTGGTATCAAATTAGTTGTATGGTGGCAAATCTCACTCTAATCCACAGGGGCGGCTATTGTCTGTGATGGTGATGACCCAGGGCAGATTTTCGCTAGACTGACCTCAGGGCTTCATGAGGCCACAATAGCTAAACTAGCAAAACTCCGAAAAAGTGGAAACTATGCTGAGGCCCGCGCAATTAGTGAAGGCGGGCCATCCAAGTATACGTATTAATGTTATTTTCAGTTCATCAGTTAGTGTGTTTAGGCTCTGTCAAAATGGAGGACCGGTTGCGATTCTGATTGGAACGAAGGTTATTCGACCGTTCAATTCTTGCCGACGGATAACAATACTGCCTTATTCAAGTAGGAAGCTGTGTACTATCCTTTCTTGGAATTCCTCGCCTTTTGTTTTACTTCATCAAAGCTCGTTCGGTGCTTTTAGAGGTAGGATTTCCACAGAGGTTATAAAAGATGGACGATTGGAACGCGCTGGCTGGGCGACAATAAAGCTGGAAGATCGCAAAGCTCTAAATAGGAAGAAGTTCCTTGCAAAATGGAGGAACTTCAGTCATCTTCTCATTAAGGTATTGTAGATCGTTTTAAACAGTTTAGAACATTTGAACCCTTAAAAAATTTGAGAGAGAACACCTTTGAGGGCGGCTAACATTTCCTTTCATTGGTCAATTGCAAATGGGAAGTACTTTTTAGTGCCGTGGTGATGGTAGGAGCTATAAAGTAATGCTCCATGCTCCTCTGTCGATTGATCTGACTTGGGGAGATTCCTTCTCCTATCCTCTCCACACACGAGGTGGTCCATACTGGCAGTATGAGAAGATCCCCTTCTCCAAATTCTTTCACACTGTAGCAGGACGTATTCAGGACAAGCAGTTTGCGGTTAATCTACAGGAAGTTAGGTATGCCAGAATATATATATTTAAGTACCACATCTATGATATGCTTGTAATACAATGTAGATCTTGTTCGAATAGTAAAACTAAATCTTTCTCTGATAAGCTTAAACAAGGTTGATAAATAATTTTTATTTGGCTAACGTTTTTTTCGTCTTCATGAAAGCCGATGACCGACTCTACAACTCTGGACCATTGACTTGGATCATCGGCCCTGATGAATACGAAGACGTCGAAACGTTAGCCGAATAAAGATCATTTATCATCCTCGTGTAAGCATATCAAAGAAAGAATGCATGTTGATTGGTCATACCGAGGTTAAAAGTCGGTTTTGAAATAGTAAAACTAAAGACAGGAAATAATAAATTTCTTTTACTTCTCCGAAATATTAGCACTTTTGTTCCAAAATGCAAGGTCATATTTGAACAGAATAATTTATTAATCAAATTAAACATTATTATAATGTATACGGCCATTAGTACTCTTGTTTGTCAGGTATTTCGCGGAAACCAATGTTTGTGTCAAAAGTGAGAAAATGCTTATTCAGCTCTCTTGGAATTGTGCTAATGGATCGGATAGATGGCGATTTTCAACTGGAATTAGACTATATTGGTGTCTACAATGATCACACCCATTTTGAGGAGTTTGCTTACGAGACCTATACCTTACCACTATTCAATACACACGGGTTCTAGATGATTATACGATTTGTGGACAAGGAACGGTTGGCACATATGTGACAGATGAGAATAGAAGCTCGAAACTGTGATCTATGGTCAATCGACTATGTTTATTGGATAAAATTGTTCATAAGTCAGAATACACCACAACATTCACAAAACTCGGAACTCAATCGGTTTTATGATACAGTTGAAGGTAGAACACCGCCAAGATATACATGTATGAAGACAACGCAGACATGTATCACCTGAGTTCAAAGCAACCTTTCTCATTAATTCCTTCTTGACTCCTATAACACCATGTCCTTCTTCTTAGACAACATTGGGATATATGGCTCTAGATCGACCTGAAAAAGTGCTGTCGCATTAGTTAATGAGTATAGTAACATCTCTTGAAAGATGGTAGGCAGTATCTATGTTTTAGAAACAGTTAAAGCTAATCAAATGGTATATTTTAGATACAGTGAGGATTTAACAACACTTAAAGAGAACGTAGTACATAAGCTTTCTAATGTTTCAACAACTGAGAAGTAGTTTTACGATCTCCTATAAAACCTAGTTAACGGCAATTTCCGTCTTCCACACAACAGAAATAGCGAAAGCAAAAACAAAGCAAGTACTAAGATTAGACCTATAATGCACGATGATACGAAACAATGCTTATTAAGGAGAATGACATCCATTCTTCCTCGTTGCATAGATTTTGTAATGTGAAGTGATGCAGAACCTTTTCATCGAATTAAGGTAGAAGGTAAAAGCAACTTTGCAATGTAGCATGCGGTAAACTTCGCTGTTGGGTTAGAAAACATTCAGGAATGTGTGCAAATGGAATGTGGCAAAGATGTTCTAGTCGGCCATCTTTCAAAAATGCTAGAGGTTCCAGTGGACATCAGTTTCTATAGAGTCCATGCATAGGTAAAAGAACCAACTTCCTAAATATAACTTTATTAAAGTGCCATTAATAATGTTGGAACTACGATAGTATGATGCAAGAACGTGAACGGAATTTCAGTACTGTTAACAAGTTATATTCCCAACAAGGAATAGATTTCTTTACGAACTGTTCTTGAACAGTCTTCCTACAGAAGTTCCAAACCCTTTGTAGTTTGCATAGCAGTGAGCGGAAGGTATACTTACATTCAGATGAAGTTGTTATACAGCAAGAATTGCATACAAAATCCTTTGCTAATGTCTCGAACATTATAAGAAATATGCTCACCTTATACACCAGTATAGATCTTATATATGAGCTATTCCAAGAGTTTCGATGTCTCATGGAAAGAGGATAAACTATGCCCCTACTGAAATCCATACAAACTTTAAATGTCTCATAAATATATCCCCGAACTCCCCTCATTTTATCTCGTCATCTTGTAGGATTTCGAATATTCGAAGAAGTGGAAAACAACCATAATGATGCTGAAATATTTGCAAAAACTCCGGACCACAGGTGCCTGTCGTAAGGATCGAACACGCTATCACCCTTTTCGAAGGTTAACACGTTCACTATTATGGCATGCGGGTCCTTCGTTTTGCCTGTCTGTCAGCCGTGTTATTGACCTACAGCTATCAGCCATCATCTGTCATAGGTATTGATCTGGGGAGCATATCTCGAAGAAGTGATGACCAGTCACCGATCTCTTGGAAGAAATCTACCTTACGTATTTGTTTCGTCCAGGCCCAAAATATCTTTCACATTTTTACTCGGGCGTGGTACAAAAGAAACTCTTATGAACCTACTCAATAGGGTGGGTGATTGTTGATGGCACTGACAGATAGAAAACTAGCTGAGATGGTGAACGTGTTAGCTCGCTGAAAAGGTAATAGCGCGTTCGTTCCATACCGCAGACACCTGCAGTCCGGAGTTCTGCAAATATATCAGAATCATCGTGGTTGTATTACATAGAATACCCTGCCATGAAAAATTGTAATGGGCAGTAAACAAAAACTTAACATACGCAATGGGATTTGTCATGAAACTAGCAAAGGACGCTGAGAATAAACTCGCTCTACTTACTCTATCGCCATCGATGACATGTGGTCGATGCTGCATTGCCTTCGTTGCACTTTCTGTATGCTCGAATGTGACAGATGCGAAGCCACGATGCAGACCCGTATCAGCATCCTGAAGATGTTGTACTTTCACAGAGGTTAAGACAGTTTTACTTGGAGACATATTCCTCATAAAGCTGAGGATTATGGAAGACAAAAGCTCACAAAGAACATGTTCACACTTCGAACTTGACCATACCGACTGAAGTAACTATGCAGCTGATCTGAAAAAAAGCAGTAAAAACGCAAGTAAAAGAGCATTTAGTGAACATACTAGAACTTTTTAGGACGTGAAATGTAGGTCAAACTGGTCTATCGCTTAGGATTCGGCCCCTACTAAAAGCTGCATTTCTCAGGAAAGATCTTTGATAGAGACTCGTCCAGCAACAATCTCATTATATCCGTTAGTTCCAGTTCTCCTAATACACATCTCATGAGCTTCACATCAGAGCGGGTAAACTGCTCAAAAGGCATAATTCAAACAAGAGAGCAACTTCTTCAGAGATCTTATGTTCTTATGAATTCCACTGAAATCAGAGAGTATCAATGACTTACGTTTTCCAGTAACCCATTTCACATGAGTCAGATAGATCGTCTTGCCTACTGACTGATCGCTATTAAAGTGCACTATGCCTCGACGAAGATTTTCACCAAGAAAACGGATCGATGACCGCATTCTGAAGTGCTCACTGGGTACTGAAAGACAGAGCAGAGTACTTGTAGTCGTTCGGCAGACAGATTAACGAAGTCACGCGAGATAATACGTGGTCTAGACAGAGAGCGATCGTGGCACTAAGGGAGGGACCACAATGTCAAATGGGAATCGGCACAGAGCTGGAACCACTCCCAGGCAGGACAACACCATTTTGGCACACCAAACATCTACGCCCACCGATTCCTGACGTCTCTGCACTGGTGAGGTCCTTTCACTCAATGTTCTCAGGTCGCTCTTCTGTAATTTGGAGTGTCGTTAGCTATTTCAAAATGCTCCAGTGCACTGAGCATCTATTCCTCTTTTCTTTGGTCCACCTTTTAGAACGGATTAAACCCATGAATAGAGCAATGTATCATCGATTTGTTTTCTCTACGTGTGAAGCAGAGATGGGTTTTATGGTCCAGGTGGACCAGAACCCGTTCGGAAGGACTGAATGGGCGCTTAATGTGGGTTGGTGTGCACGACTGCTAACGTGTCCCTTCTTCAGATACTAGAGTCCGAGTCTTCTGTGAGCATGGTTGCCGTCAGTGCATCAGAGCTGTTCTGATAGATGTTCTCTCTTCCGTGCCGTGATGAACTTCTTCTCCGTGGTTGTGGCTATCGCACTCTTCGGGACGTTGTTTATGGTCCATGTTGGCCTTCATAGGAAAAACATCTGTCATATGACCTATATGTGGCGTTTTATCAACTTGGTGGTAAGTGCTTTATGTGCAGCTCTCGAAAAAGTCAAGAAATGCAAGTTCATTTGTCACAGCCAGTTGAAGTCCATGGAAATACCCATCGTGAATATGGCCTCTATCGCTATATGGAAGGCGTTGTAAATGAGCATACGATGTTAGTCTTACGTTTTATCCATTTGTATAACTCACCACATTCAGGCTTTTCAAAGGGTTCCGGTTTTATGTTCCGATTTTGAAGTCAACTGGGTTTCAGGTCCATTTCCCCGAACGACATCCCTGTGTTGTTTGTGCCCGGAAGTGGTGGATCGGCAAAACAGGCAAGGTGTTATTTTCAGTTCAACAACAGTTCTTTCGTTCTCTTCCGAAATTCCGCAGGTATGGATGTAGTTCGTTGCAGGTGCGTTCGGTGGCTTCTATATTGATGAACAAAACCGAGATGACATCGGCACCGTTTCGAATGCATTTCTATGCCGCTGACTTCGATGAGGTAGTTTCTACATCATTTTTGGATTACGGGTTCTCTTGAGGTATCTAGAATTCAGTGCCACTACCGACTGAATCATTCTTTTATCAGCTATTTCAAGGAGCTTTCGTTTCTTAGTGGTGCAGTCTTATATCGGCAACGGGACTTCGTAATGAAAGCGATGTCAGTGCTACATAAAATGTATTCTCGTAAGGTGCTGCTCTGGTTCATTTCTTGTTTTTTCGTCCTCTTTCTTGTTTTCACCGTTTTTTTCGTTGTGTATAAATGTTCTGATAAGCGCACACTCAGGCTTCCTAAAGGGTTTTGGTTTCAGGCTGACGCAGTAGTCGGAGGCGCCATGGGACACATACAATACACATGGGATCGATCCCGGCGCCCAAGGCTCACCAAGCCTTCCATCCCTCTGGGGTTGGTAAATTGGTACCAGACTTGTATGAGAGGATAGCAGCATTGCCTGGATACATCGGTAGGCCACCACGGATTATTGTCAAGGCGAAATATGCATTATCACTTCCAACGATGCTTGATGAAGTCGAATGCAGGCCGCATCCTTCAAGGATTGTCAACGCCGAGAGCTTTATTCTTTGTCCTTATATAAATGTTCTAGATTGTTTTGATTGGCCATTCATTTGGCGGAACTGTTCTTTATGCGCTGCCTGCTCATGTTGATTTCGATGCTTCGAGAATGGATCTCGTGGTTACATTGGCATCGCCTCTGGTCAATCCCCGTGAGATCTTTCTTTCCTTTTTCTACTTGCTGTGATACGATCAACTTCTTGTTCCACTTTTCACAACTCACTATGGACTACTTAAATAACATCTCTGTTTAGCACTAATAATGGATGAGCTGATGGTTACTTTCTACGAATCGATGAAAGAAGCTTGGCAGTCTCGTCGTGGGGCTTTACGTCACGTTGTCGTGGTGTCTTATAGTGGTGGTTCGAAGGACTTTCAAGTACCCGATCGTCTGGCAGCATTTCCTGAAGTTTGTGATTGGTGGTTTACTGTTTATGCTTATGAAATCTTGCGTAAGTCTATTTTGAACTATTGCCTACCTTTTATGACTTCAACCTATCCTTAGAGCCACGTTGTCCATATTCCTTCATGGTCGATACCTGGAGTAGACACTTCAGTGGATCACTTGTGTATATTATGGTGTAATCAGTTGATAAGGTATGGTATGTTTATCTTATGTAAAACATTTTTTTTTACATGACCCGGTATCGCTTGCTGTGCGGATCTCAGCATTTCCGTCGATCGGTTCTTTCTCTTGTTCGTGGATAGCATATGTACACAGTAATGTTTGGGCGAGGATTGTTACTTGTACCCGCGAAGACCTTCAAGATTTGTGTGTGTTCGAGTGCTGCTTGAAGATTTTTGACCTTCTTATGGATGTCGTTGAATGCTGCCATTGTCGATTCTCTGTGACATCTTGGAATACCTGTGCTAGAACGTCTTGGGGTCTTGTGCATAAATACTCTCCAACCTTTGTGAATCATATGGAGCTCAACAGATAAATCTGATGCTATTTTCCCGAACATGGAGGGTTTGGTGGTTTGGTTGACTCGCTGCGGAGATGAACCAGAACCTTCTGCATAATGGACGGCATTTTTACCCATGTGCTACCCGTTTTTCTGTGTGCAGTCCTTCTTTATGACTTATTTCTCTTACAAACCTTTGCGTTATGGAGTTTTTCTGAACAGAAAGATGAAAGGGTTTCAGTCATAATTCATTGCAGACATTCGGCAAGGATTTTGTACAAATATGGCATGGCAGTAACGAAGGACACTTTTCCTCAGTCCACTAGTACGTTCATGAAGAGCTATTTCCAAAAACAACGCAACGACTCTCGAAAAGCAACTGAAACTTTGCTGAACGTTTCCGAAGGTATAACGAAAATAGGAGTTTTCGACTATCCATGGGTCTCGCGCATATATATCGGTGATTTAGAGGTGCTACTTGGTCGTTTTTGTTTAGAACAGTTTGCATTGTAAATCCTTCAACATTCTTTAACATTTTCAGAGCTCAAGGAAAGTTTTCGAGCTGGAGTTTCCTTCCAATTACGTAGCATACTCGATTCAGCTATTTTCCGATTGTGGTTAGTTACATGGAGTCGTTTCTTCACAATTTTTAAATATTCGTTTTTGCCGTTTGCCCTGAAGTGTTTTAGGGTGCTTAGGAAATTGAGCAAGTGATTTTTTCAGTCCTCTGTTAGTATGCTCGAAGGAATGTTCATCTTCATGTTGTTGTTTACTTTTGAAGCGTTACATAAGAACTGAGACCGGTTCATTAACGCCATCGTTCAGTAGTTCTTAAAGGGTCGCGTTTGGACGACTTCATCGTGTTCGTAACCTGGAATGTGCGTCTACAAAATGAGGAATGAAACTCAGACCAAGATATTAACTTCTCCTACTGCGCGAACTCTTTAGTGAGGCACTCGTCTTTTGATTAATTTTCGGATTCTTGAAATTAATCCAAAATGCATAACGCATTTATTTTTCTGCTTTTGAGAAAATGCCGTTCTCGATAACGTTGACGAAGGATACGATCGATTCAATCAACGTCTTCACACTAGCGCTATGAAAACTTAGAGGTCGAGAGTCACCAAGAGACGTCTTCTCCAGAAGCACTAGAGGTGGTGCTACAACTTGGAATCGCACGAGCCACAGGGAACCGCTAATTCACGTCCGAACTTGCAAAACAATGCAGACAGGCGATAAAAGATCTTGAAGAGGGAAGAACAGCAGTAATCATCGACGCTGCAGAGGCTGGGAAAAGCATTCGCAAAGCCCATCGAAGCTTCGCCAAGTAGAAGACCAAAATAATTGCACTCCGGCGCCCAGACAGAGCAGCAGCATCCAGAAAGGCAATGGAGAAAATCATTTACGAATGCTACTCCGATCTCTTCGATATCCACGTCCACCTTCCGTCATATGAAATAGAGGATGGATATGTTGTACCCACCGGTTCTCCCTTCCGAAATCCGACATTCCATTTGGTCGGTGAAAAATCCAACAACACTAGGTCCAGACAGTATAAGACCAGAATGCCAGAAGAACCTTCCGCCAGTCCTCGTAAACACACTGGCTCGGCTCTTCACACGTTACCTGTCTGAATGCAAGGTGTCTACTCAGTGGAGGACCAGCAAGACCGTGCTCTTCTTCAAGAAGGGTGACCTCTGCGATATCGCGACTATCGTCCAATCTGCTTACTATCTTTCTTCTACAAACTTTTCACTCGAGTTATCCTAAACAGGACTGACAGAACAGTAGACGAAGGACAGCCATGTAAGCAAGCAGGGTTTCGAAAAGGATTTAGTACGATGGACCATATTCATGCGATGACAAAGCTCATTGAAGTATTGCGAGAGTACAAAAGGCCGCTCTGTCTCACTTTCATCGATTTAGAGAAGGCCTTCGACTCAATTGAGATAGAAGCAGTCATGGAAGCCCTTGATAGTCAAGGAGTCCCTACTCAGTACATAATGATATTTCGTAAGCTGTACAAAAATTTCACAACTGAGATATCACCATCTCAACCTTTTTTATTTTCTGCCTATTCTTTTTCTGATAGCAGGGTATGTTGCGAAATATAACTTATATAATGCTGAGATATTTGCAAAGCTCCGGACCGCAGGTGCTTGCGGGTGGGGTTCGAACGCGTTATTGTCCTTTCCGGGGAGTAACGCGTTCACCGCCACATCATGCGGGTCCTTCGTTTCGCCTGTCTCTCAGCTAGTTCTGTCGATCACTTACCATCAGCAATCACCCGACAGCGGGATTACCACTGTATATCTCAGCGTTATATAAGTTATATTTCAACATATTCTGCCCTTAAAAAAGGAATAGCCAGTAAATAAAAAGGTTGAGATTGTGGTTAGAACTGTAGCCTCAGCTTAACTGGGTTCAATGCCAATTTGGGCTTCCCAGATCAATCCCGTTGACGGGTGATTGCCGATGGCAAGCGATCGATAGAACTAGCTGAAAGGCAGGCAAAACGAAGGAACCGCATGGTGTGGTGGTGAACGCGTTACTCCCCGGAAAGGACAATAGCGCGTTCGATCTCCACCGCAGGCATCTGTGGTCCGGAGTTTTGCAAATATCTTAGCATTGTATGACATATCACCATTTTACAGCGATGTCAACACTGACACAAAAGAAGAGTTGGGCAAGGCGATACCATCTCGTCCAAATTATTTACCTCCACCCTCCAGAACGTCATGCGAACATTGGAATGGGATAATATGGGAGTGAAAGTCGTTGGTCGGCAATTACACCATCTCCGCTTCGTTGATGACATCGTCCTTAGAGCACCAACACTAGCCAAGCGGAAGGTATGCTTGCCGACTTCGATAAAGCCTTTGGAATGATTGGTCTGCGACTAAATTTCACAGAAACGATGTTAATGAGGAATGGATTAGTTTCGTATCCCCCACTAACGCTCAACGGAACGAATATCTCCGAATGCTCCAGTTATGTCTATCTAGATCAGGAAATAAACTTGTTGAACAACTTAGGTCCAGAAATGAGCAGAAGGAAACGAGAAGCTTGAGGAGCTTTCAAGAGCGTCGATGATGCGGTGAAGAAAGCAAAGAACATCCGACTCCGTGCCCATCTTTTCGGTTCCAGTATACTTCCTGCCTAAACGTATGCGTCAGAGACCGTTTCTCGTTGTAGGCAGAATGGAAAATCACTCAGTGTTATTGAACGCACAGTCGAAAGGTCGATGCAAGGAGTATCCCGTATCACATAAGTTAGGGAAGGGATCCGGAACTCCCACCACCGTCAGCGATTAAAAATCTGTTTAAAATCCGGGATCCGGAACTCCCACCACCGTCAGCGATTAAAAATCTGATTAAAAAAAAAGGTGCCGATCTGTACACCAAAAAGTTATAGATTTTGGGTTGGACACGTAATGTGTATGAACGACAACTGATGAACAAGAGTTGTTAGTTCACGATTTCTCGGGATGTCAAACGCGCTGGAGGAAGGCCACCGACCCGAATAGTAGAATTATTTACGAAGAGCCTAGAAGATAGGTATGACGCACAACGAGTCCCTCTAGCGAGCAGAACTCACTGGGCTACTCTTGCACGCGACAGGGAAAAGTGGATGGTTTATTGATGCCCGCTCAAGTCACTCGGTGATCAATGGGACTACAGGTGATACAGGTGATCGGTGATCCGAAACGCTACAAGAGGTTTACATGATGACGTTCTTGGTTCTTGAGCTGAGTTTTTGGTTTTGGCTATAACCGATGCCTAGGCTTTGAGTTTTTATTACGATCATCCAGACTATTTAAGTTTCCTTTACTGTCTATTCTTTTTTCGCTCGTAGGGTATGATGTGTAATGCAACCACGAGGATGCTGAGATGTGTGTGAAATTCGGAACCGTTGGAGTGAAGAAAAACTGACTGAAAGAAAAACAAAAGAAAGGCCTTTGTTGATGTGGTGGCATAGCATGTGAGCTTCCGGAAAGTGTGATTACTGGTTCGAATCTGGCTGTTTAGTGTTTTGCTCGTACCGCATCACGCTTGTGGTTACGAGTCCATTCAGCGAATAAGACTATTTGGCCCTAAACCGAGATTACCGAAACTTTAGCCATTGAAAACTAAGGAACTTAGAAAAAACCTCGTATAACCTCGGCGAAGACAGTTTGTAAAGGCACAGTGCATTGTCTATTAATATTGAAGATTGCCCAAAGTGGGTTTTCCGGACTATTAAATTATAATTGCATTTTATAACTACAACATGCTGAAATTTTACCAACCTCGGAACTGCAGCTGGGCTTCAGATTCGCGTTTACCCTACCAAGGGCTCACAAGCAACTGACCACATTAACCGAGTATTTTACAATATTTACTTGGCAGTTTGTTCTATGGTTGCTCGATTTTTGCTTCAATACAAGCGGTCTTAAATCGAAATAGTTATTCGTATATTGAGCAGAAAAGATACTGGTTATTCTTAAATTGAATGAACCATGTTGTTGCCATAGAACAAGAGCAAGTGTGGAGACTGTTTGTAGTGGTGTTTCAGATGCTTCAATGCGATTTGTGTATTCAAATTTCTACATCCGTACAGCACTGGTTGACGAGCAGTCCAAAGTGCGAGCTATGATTGTTGACCTTCCTTATGGATTAAAATCGAGTACTTTGCATGTTACTACACTTGTTGAATTTTGTTCTTATCACGGTTCTCCAATTCTGTTTGCAGATGCTGGGCACATCTTTATAGAAGGGCTACCGCAGTGTAGATTTCACTTAACTGTTCGGCCGGATATTTTCTATGCATGGTATCTGGTTGGTATTTATAATCTATACTCGCTTACTTACTTTACGTATTTATTAGCTACAAAAGTACTTACGGAAAGATTGATTTCGATACTTGCACATAAGTATCGAAATCAATCTTTCGACTGGAATAGGATAAATTCATTCTTTATAATCAGCTGCTGATATCGGATGTCAGCCTGTTCACCAGTTTCACATTGTGTGCTCTTATGACTCTAACCATAGTAGAGAAATTATTAGGTGAGGTGTGTTGATCATCTTATTTCTGTTGAAACAGTTTTTTTTCCAATGTGATGGATTTAGGAAGCTGTGAATTTAGTTTTCGAGGAGAATGCTATGTGGGCGGATGCGTCTTTATCTCAATGTTAGTTCTCTTACTCAAGCAGTTTTTCACATGTCCAGCATATCATTCTCACTTCTTCATTTAGGATTAGTTCAATCTGACTTTTTTAAGGAATAGATCAATCTCACATTTTCTTTAAGGATTAGGTCAATCTCGCTTCCTTAAGGTTTTTCTGCTTCACGTACAATCATTGGATTCGAGAATATGTATTTGCTGTAACTGTTTTCTACACTCTCTCGTGTTTCTACTTTCTTTCGAAAATAGTCAATCTATTCATGGCAAAAGTGTATGTTTTTCTTTCGAACTTTCTTTTTTTTTTCTTCGATTTTGCGCGCCACCTTATGCCTAATTATCAGGGGCTTGCATTTCCAGGTATTCCTCTGCTCCTTCATTCATGCGATTCTTGAACGCGATGTTAAATTTGGTTATGTTGACACTACTTCCTGTAAATTTATGTTTTACGAACTCCGTGATGGCGTTCCTTATGACTTTAGTAAGCTATTATAGTTCTTTTTAGAGCCTACCCTGTGCTTACTTTTTTTGTTTTTATTATTATTTTCTAGTCTTCAACTTTTTCAACTTTTTCTTCTTCCAATTTCTTAAGTACGGAAAAAATGTGTGAAGAATTCCCAGTGTCTAGTACCTCTCTACACAATTATATTCGTGGGCTACATTCCACCAGTAACACTGAGTTGTTAAATTTCAGCAAAGAACAGCGGGACCCTATGCTGTCCTGCTCAGCATCTTCACAGGAAGCATCTGCACAGTACTTGGATTTGCTGAACCAACACATGATAGAGTCATCCACTTAATTGAGGATCTCGAAAAATTGACCTCGTTAGATGTTGCTTCACTTTTCTACTCTCTATTTGCAAAAATTGACTTCTCCAGAATTCTGATTACTCCAGTGATTTTCCATTTAGTCGCAAGGGTTTTCACTATTGTGCGTTCACCTCAGTATTTAGCTTCACTTAAGGTTCCTTTCACAGCTTGTCTTCTAGTCGTGCCTGGGTTTGTTGCTAGTCAGGTGTCGTTGTCTTTGGAGACATATTCTGTTGTTGCTTCTTTACTGCTAACGGTTCTTACACTTTTATAACACTACAAAAAATTCTCTACGGTGTGATTTCATTCACTTACTTCACTTTCTCAAATTCATCCTCTGTCATTGGTATCGTAGTTCTAACAAACATGTTTGTTTTGGTCTCCAGTTTTCTGCAAATAGGTCTAGTAATTTTTGTTGTCTAGCTTTACTTTGGATTAAGGGTCTGTGCACCGATAATTCGCTGTGATGAAAGATGATGTTATTTAACCGAAAGAAAGTTTTTGCCATCGTTATTTTTGTCAGTGCGGTCATTTCTCCACTTCTCTGTCCTCATTGGTCGTTTCTTCGTAATATGTTGATGTGGATGGTGTTTTAGAATACGTCTCTGGAGAATTTCATTCCATTCTTAGAGGCATTCAGTTCTTTTTCCATATGCATAACATGGACGATGACAGTGATTTCGACGTAGGTTTCTTTTGTTGTTTACATGCTGTTGCTTATACGATTTGCAAGCTTATTAATCACTGAGTAACTGGGGAATTTGGCAGTTTGTAAGTGCTTATGTTCGCACAAAACATGGTCCGTATAGAGGTGAAGCTTAATCGCATGAACCAGTTCAGATACATATTTATGGAGAAGTTCGAATATAATTAGTCCCAGCTTAACTGGGTCCAATACCGATTCGTGTTTCCCATATCAATCCTGTGGACGGTTGATTGCTGTTGGCACTGCCCGATAGAACGCTAGCTGAAAGGCAGGCGATATGAAGAACCGGCATAGTGTGGTGGTTAGAGCGTTAGCCCATGCAAAGTTAGAAGAGCGTTCACACCGCAGACACCTGCGGTCTGCAGTTTTGCAAATAACTCAGCATTGCATATCTTTGCTTAAGGAGTGGACAGTCTATATGACGATCACAAACGCCATGCTCGTGCGCAACACAACGCACTGGAGCGAAGGCGTAGGGACAACATTAAGGGAATGTACACGAGTCTGAAGAATGTGGTCCCGGATATGCAGAACGAACGAGTGAACTACTTTCATAGACTGTCCACTGCAAATACATCGTAACACATATATCTAGAGAAAATTTTAGGTATCTCGAGCTGTCATTCTGAGACGTGCAATTGAAATAATTGAGGCGAAACAACGAGAACGTGCGCATCTTCAAGCCGAGTGTGATCGTATACGTGAAGAGACCGCTGAAATGGAAAGAGAGGTACTAGTCTGACGCATAGTTATTCACACTAATTTTCGAGAACTAATGATAGTTTCACTATAATTAGAGCATTTCCCTAATCCAGAACTCTATACATTTGTAGACCACCCAACGGTCTACCACGTCATCGTGGCTGGGAGGTGTTCCTGAGTGTCCGGCTGTGATGTACAGCCGAGGGATTTATCCTCCTGGCAAGGTCTTCCAAATTGAGGAGAAGTTCGTGGTTTTCATCAGGAAGCCTATCTAAGAGTGAACCAATGCCATTATCCACCACCGTCCTGGTAGTAGACTAATTGCATGATCGCAAATCTCTCTCGGTTCCACAAAGGTGGCGAATGCCTTGTGGTGGTAACGACCTGTGGTAGACTTTGACCAAGCTGTCCTTGGGACTTCAGGGAACCACCATGGCTAAGCCGCCAAAACTCCGAAAAATGGATAATATGTTGGGACTCGCACAATCAGTGAGGGCGGGCTGTTCAAGTATCCAAGAAAGTAAATATAGTTTTGCAGAAGATATTTTGCTCTGTCGCATTAGTTACATATAAAATTTCTATACAGTACTTTTTCAAATTTAAATACTTGTGGGACTAAAAGCTTGGAAAAACTGGTAACTAAACTGTAGTTTTTAAATCTTTGAACGCAATAGCGTTGTATGGAAACATAAACGGTACATTGGACAACACCATTATGTCCTGCTGGGCGAAATCCAGACTGGGTCACTTGCTTTTATGTTCGAGTAATTGTCATGTAGCAAGTCAGTAAGGTTTTAAAAATGTATGTCGTAAGCTTCAGAAAACCAAACAAAAAACATACTGGTGTAAATTTCAAAGTGGTCATTATTTTCGCATCAATTGTGTTGTTTGCAATGCAGCTGGGGCGCTATGTGTAAACGCATGGAACTTGGTTTAGTACGTTGACTTCAAGTATGAGTTCAACCAATGAGGTTGAGAAAACTAACTGAATTGTGAAGTGACAGTGATTTGAGATCGGGTAATAGCATTATTAGAGAAGATGTGCTCACATTGTGACGCTGGTAATATTCGTTTTAGATAAGAATGATCCGAGAAACGGTAACGTCAACGATAGCATCGTCACTTGTCCCAAACAGCACTTGTTCACCGCAGCAAATAAGACCCGCTTTAGTGAATGTGGAAAAAGAGGGCTCTTATAGGTCTAACCATAGCAGAGAAATTGTTAAGTGAGGAGTGTTGGTTCTCTTCTTTTTGTTGAAGTAGTTTTCTTTCTAAATTTAATGGATTTAGGAAGCTGTGAATTCAGTTTTCGAGAATGCGATATGGGTTGGTGCGTCATAATCTCAATGTTAGTTTTGACTTACTGAAGCACTTTCTAACATGTTCAGGTAGCATGTCAATCTTACCACTTCGTTAAGGAGTGGATCAATCCTAATTCTTCTTTAAGGAGTAGATCGGTTTCACTTTTTCTTAAAGGAGTGCGTGAATCGCACTTCTTCTTTGAGGAGTACATCAGTCTGACTTCTTTTTTAAGGTCTTTCTGCTTTACGTACAATCATCGGATTCGAGAATAGGTGTTTGATTTAACTATTTTGTACATTCTCCCATGCTTCTACTTTCTTTCGAAAATAACCAATCTCTTCACGTCGAAAATGTATGTTTTTTTTACAAACTTTTTTCTTCGGTTTTGCGCGCCACCTTATGCCTATTTATCATGGGCTTGCATTTCCAGGTATTCCTCTGCTCCTTCATTCATGCGATTTTTGAACGCGATGTTAAATTTGGTTATGTTGACACTACTTCCTGTAAATTTATGTTTTACGAACTCCGTGATGGCGTTCCTTATAACTTTAGTAAGCTATTCTGGTTTTTTAGAACCTACTCAATGTTTGTTTTCTAGTCTTTAACTTTTTTCTCTTCCAGTTTCTTAACTGTGGTAAAAAATGTGTGAGGAATTCCCAGACTCTAGTAGTTCTCTAAACAATGTGTATCCGTGGGCTACATTACACCGCTAACACATTGAGTTGTCAAATTTCAGCAAAGAGCAACGGGTCCCTATGCTGTTCTGCTCAGCATCTTCAAAGGAAGCATCTGCAGAGTTCTTGGATTTGCTGAACCAACACATGATAGAGTCATCCGCTTAATTGAGGATCTCGAAAAAATGACCTCGTTAGATGTTGCTTCACTTTTCTACTATCTATTAGCTAGAATTGGTTTCTCCAGAATTCTGATTACACCAGTGATTTTCCATTTATTCTTCGGGTTTTCACGATTGTATGTCCACCTCATTATTTAGCTCCACTTAAGATTCCTTTCGCAGCTGGTCTTCTAATCGTGCCTGGATTTGTTGCCAGACAGGTATCATTGTCATTGAAGGCGTGCGCTGTTATTGCTTCCTTACTGCTGACGCTTCTTTCACTTTTATAGTTATTACAAAGGATTCTCTATGTTATGATTTCATTCGCTTACTTCACTTTCTTACAATTCGTTCTCTTTCGTGGGTATCGTAAGCAGTTCTAGCAAATGTTATTTCTTTAGTCTCTAGTTTTCCGCAAATTGATCTATTGATCTATCTATTAATTTGTGTTGTGTAGCTTTACCCTGGATTAAGGGTCTGTCTTTGTAATTTGCCGTGACGAACACGTTATTTTATTGAAGGAAAGTTTTGTTACAAATAAAAAGTATGCGTTTAGTAATGCGGTCAATTTTGCTCTTCTGTGTCTTCGTTGGCTACTTCGTAATATATGGTGACGTTGATACTGTTTTAAAATACCTTTCCAGAAAATTCCATACTATTCCTAGGCGCATCCAGTTCCCTTTTCATATGCACAGCATCGACGACGACAGTGATTTCGACGTAGGTTTCGTTACGTTGTTTACATTTTGTTGTTATAAGGTTTGGTAGTAGCGCAGTGGTCGGAGGCGCTCTGCAATACATATAGGGTCGATCCAGGCGCCCGTGCCTCACTAAGCGTTCCATCTCTCCAGAGTCGACAAATTGGTGTCAGACTTGTCTGGGAGGATAACAGCACCCTCCTACACATCGGTAGGCCACTGCGAGTCATTGTAAAGGCCAGACATGCATTCAGCCACCTCCAACGATGTTTAATGAAGTCGAAGGACTGATCGACATCGAGAGCTCTATTCTTCTATACTTCATACGGTTTGCAAGCTTACTAACTCTAGAGTAATTGGAGAATTTTAAAGTTTGTAAGCGCTTATGTTCACGGAGAATTCATGATCTGTATAGAGGTGAAGCTTCGTCGTATGAAGCAGTTCAGATGCGTATCTATGGAGAAGATTGAATGAAACATATGAAACTAGTAGCTCGATTAGAAAACAAAAGCGCAAATGTGTTTTAGTTCTCTTTATAAGTCTGCCGAATCGTTATGTGTGAGTTTTACGAACTTCACATTATTTCTAGCCAGGAGCTGGCCAAAGAATAGGTCAGAATGTTATTCTTTTAAAGATTTCGATACCAATTCTGGCCAGTCGCTGTGCTAAAGTACCCTACATTTGCACTTCTTAATATACCTTTATAATATTTTATCTAATTCAAATATACATAACGCAACCGAGTTTTTTCACTTCTTTCACTTTCACTTTTTCACTTTTCACACTGCATACTCTGTCACTCCAATTTCCTCACTGTCCTCACGTAAAGGTAGGGCTGTTTACATTCTGATGGCTTTTAGCTTCACGAAGGAAAAGTCTCCGACCCCAGGTCAAATCAAATCACGATTACCTTTACCGAAGACTAGTGTGTTATGGACTGCACTACTGAGACCCTTGCTTTGCCTTTCACTCAGCTAGTTTTTTTATTATTTTATATTATTTTAAGTCAGCATTATTTTCAAAGATTGAACTTCCTAGTTCTATAAGTAGAGTGGAGTGCATACCTGCTATGCTTCAGGATGAACAACTCGAGTCGCCTCATTCAAGCCAGGGATGCGTTGGCATAGTGGACAGTTTATGTGACGATCACAAACGCCATGCTCGTGCGCAACACAACGCACTGGAACGAAGACGTAGGGACAATATCAAGGACATGTACACAAGTTTGAAGGATGCGGTCCCAGATATGCAGAACGAACGAGTGAACTACTTCCATAGATTGTTCACTACAAACACATCGTAACACATGTATTTTGAAACCTTTAGGCATCCCGGGCCGTGATTCTCAGACGTGCAATTGAAGTAATTGAAGAGAAGCAACGACAACGTGCACAACTTCAAGCTGACTGTGATCGTATTCGTGAAGAAACTGCTGAACTGGAAAGAGAGGTACGCCCAGCACTAAAAGGTGTTCGTTAGAATGCCTCATCTGAGGCATAGTGATCTACACTGACTTTTCTATGGCTTACGATTCATTTCACAAGTTAGAAGTCAATAGTTTTATAAAGGATACTTTTCTCTGTCGCATTAGTTGCATGTAAAGTTTCTATACAGTACTTTTTCAAATTTAAATATTTATGGGACTAAAGCTTGGAAAAACTGGTACCTAAACTGTAGTTTTTAAATCTTTGAATACAATAGCGGTGTATAGAAACATAAACAGTACACTGGATAACACCATTATGTCCTGCTGGGCGAAATCCAGACTGGTTCACTTGCTTTTATGTTCGTGTACTTGTCATGTAACAAGTCAATAAGGTTTTAAAGATGTATGTCGTTAGCTTCAGAAAACCAAACAAAAACATACTGGTGTAGATTTCAAAGTGGTCATTATTTTCGCATCAATTGTGTTGTTTGCAATGCAGCTGGGGCGCTATGTGTAAATGCATGGAACTTGGTTTAGTACGTTGACTTCAAGTATGAGTTCAACCAATGAGGTTGAGAAAACTAACTGAATTGTGAAGTGACAGTGATTTGAGATCGGGCAATAGCATTATTAGAGATGTGCTCACATTGTGACGCTGGTAATATTCGTTTTAGATAAGAATGATCCGAGAGACGGTAACGTCAACGATAGAATCGTCACATGTCCCCATCAACACTTGTTCACCGCAGCAAATAAGACCCAATTTAATGAAATTGGAAACAGGGGGTACGTTCACCTGTCGTTAAGATATATAACTTCTTAAAATTGACGAACACTACCAAGAGGCGTTTAGCCTAGGAACGTTTGCTACGAGAGTTGAGGGACGACTATGTCTCGTGGCATTATCTGTGTATAAAGTGGTGTACATAGAACACTGTATTTGCATTTTCAATCAGATTTATGTTGTAACCTAACTAACTAAGAACTAAGGTTTTGTTGAGTTTTGATGCGAAATTTTTTGCTTCATACCGATATCCTCCCAACGACGACTGTTTTCCCAGGGTCGTTCGAGAAATGCTGTTTTTCATACATTTTGTTTATTCTACATTACATCGCCCATGATCACATTTACTGAGCGGATCTCAGCACCTCTTGCATTCGATTCGTTTTCCTCGCGTTCGTAATCCACAATAATCTTTGAAGATTTAGCATGTTATTTTGGCTGCCGTTTGAGAACTCTAGTTTTCTTTACGGATTTCGTGTAATAGTGGTGTAGTCGATCTCCGATTGATTGTAGAACGCATCTATTTTGCTTTCATCGGCTGGATTGGCTAATAGCACCTGTCTGACCATCTTTAGAAACGAGGTTAGCAAAGAATAGCTAGCTAAGCGAAGTAACAAAACCTCGTATGAAGCGACCCTATAGGTAACAAATGACTATGCGATAAAACTTCTACAACCGATATTTGGTGACTGAAATTTTGGAGAAAAAAGAAAGAAGAATGTCGTGCGTCTCGTCTTCTAATTGTTGTATTTGGTTTCCCTCCTTTCCAACTCTTGTAGGGCGATCACAAGTAACTTTATGCGACCATCGACCCCAAAAAGAGCGTAAAGATCAAGGAAACTGTCCTGGTATACATGTGCATAGTTCGATCTGCTTCCAGTGACGCACTGTGCAACTTAATACTTAGTCAGCCTCCACTGGTCATTTCATTGTCCAAGAGACGATAAGTGTTCCAATAGAGCAGAAACGTCTTTGTACGCTTTTCAACGATAACACTCTAGCTTCCTAGCAAGACTCTCTCACCATGTAATCAACTCGTCCGTAGAATATTCCTTTGTAAACTGTTAAGTGTAGAGAGTAGCTGCTCATGTGCCAAATCTGACACATCTAGAGGATAAAAAGATAAAGCGTTCGGTGTTGATCAATCCGCGAGGAAAGTGTTCGGCGTTAATGCATCATGTATTAGAATTCATTAAAGATGAATGGATGCATATCTGGCTTCCATGAGTTACGGTGGCTTATTAATATATCATCTAAGTGCTGCTGTTCGCCTGGGCAAGTCTGGCACCGATTGTCCGATCTCGGAGGGGTGGAAAGCTTCGTCGCAGTTCGAGACGAACCGCTATCAATTCTCTAGTGAGATAGCGAATAATTGTTTAGTGTTTTGCCCTCAACTTACTATACAGAGATACTCCAAGTATATTCGAAACTCACTTCGTTTTCAGGGAGTGTGGAAATGTACGCTAAGAGTGAGCAGCACAGTTAAAAAAGCAATTCCACTGCCATGTGATACTCTGATTTCTAACGAAATTTCGGTTCAATTATGCCTATCTTCCTTTCTTTTACGTTGTGGTGAAATATTTTAATATGCAATTACAAAAGAATAAAGCACTGTTTAATCCCTGAGGAATGCGTCATGCAATTCACCTCAATGACGTCTTCAAGACTATGCGCATACATTCCAATATGTACGCTGCTATAATTTCGGACCACACTTCTTGGTTTTAATGTGCACGCTCTTTTCTACCTTACATTACCACACGGCTTTTTTCGAGAATTTTGGTAATAGATCGAAAGCTTGTCGAAGAGAGACTTAAAACTGGGACCGGTCTATGGATAGGTATCCTCAATGCGTTACGCTTCCAAAAGCTGTTTCGGACGCCTGAGTGGAATCCGTGGATATAAAAAACATGAAAGAGACAACATAATTCACTTATGTCGTAGAAAACCACAGGAAGAGCTTATAACACCGTGGTCAGATAGCAGAGTTTTGCGTACAACACACAAGAGGTTCTCAAGGACATGAGAACATACAGAATATAGCGGATATGTAGAAGCTACATAAACGGAAAAGACATAAATGAGCTGAAGAGAGAGGGAAGAAATATGAAGGAAGTGAGTAATTGAGTAAAAGTAATTGAACTACAACTTCAAGAAACCTGTGCGCCTTGCGTTTTCACAGAGCTCGCAAACAGTATGTCCTGATTCAATGAGCACTTCGATCGTTTCCCAATGATACACGATCTGCTAACCGTAAAACGGAAAGCGGCCGAAGTCTTGAAAGGGTTGATCATCATTACAGGTGACTTAATGGGGATCTGGACTATGCATTCACTCGCGATTGCCTACCCGCGTATGAACTCAGTACTGTTGCCCTCTCAGACAAGTCTGGTAACAATATGTTGACACAGGAATGGAGGGCTAGGTGAGCCTGTGGCTTGGGATCGAACCAAAGTCGAAATGTGTATTGCAGGACACGTCTAACCACTGTGCCACACACGCTCTGTCCAAATACTATAAAACAAGAACATAGTGTCCTATTAGCTGAAAATACATTACCGTGCGTAATTCTGATTGCAAAGGAGTTGTCAATGTAGACCTGCTTGCTGGAGTGACCAAAAAAGATAGTTTCTGGTATCGTATTTAGAAACACGAATGTCGTAACTTTATGTAGCAATATTGCCACCTTACTGATAAACCAAGGAGAAAAGCAACCACCATGCCATTAACAAGACGACCACAAGTTTTTAGTCAACAATTAACATGAATAATTGAATTTGGCTGTAACATCAACTATCTACTCGACATTTCATTTCAGTGGTGTATGAACCATAGAAAGCCTTAATAATGTGTGAAAGAAATTTAAGCTTGTCGAGGAGCTGTACGGGCCTGAAGTTAGAACAAGAACATATAAACATCTAGTCAAAGTTAAACATGGCCTACGGTGATTGGGAACTAGATTTCCGTTAATATTCCATAATAACCGAAACATTTAAGTTACAAGTATATACGCTGTCACGCACTTTCACTTCTCGATTAGTTTACGGAGTTCAGGTAAAGGTTGCTCCTCCATTTGATCAACTAGTTAAGGAACCCGAGCGGTGAGTACGTTTCTTTCTGAGGAAACATGCTACACTCTAAGATACTCTTCAAACAAAGAAATGTGTAGAAGCATGTTCACTAATTCTTCGGAGAGCATTTCCGATTGGTGTAAAGCAATATGTAACGTCTGCAGAAGTCGCCGCACTACCTGTAGCTGCTTCACGAAACTGAAACTGGTCTAATTATACACTGAAAGCTTTTTTTGTAACCGTCAACAAATGGTATACACCCATGCAGTATGGACTGCTACTACTGATGCCTTCTTCAAGAACCACTTTCCCTTCTTTTTTCCCTTTTTTAATCACCTTGCACATGGTAGGTAAGCAAAGGCACAAGCTCCATGAAGCGTTCAAAATTATTTTACAACTCACAATTGTAGTTCTCTCTTACGATCCTTTTGATGCAAGTTCTCTCTGATGCCACGAACAGCGAGTAACAATCTCTGTTGTCTTTTCCGAAGATGCCGTCGATTGCTAAAGTCAGAGTACTAACATGATACCTGTATGTACATATGTCTACACATACACATAAACATACATGGAGAGCATATATATATATATATATATATACATGAATACACAGATAACGAATGTATGTATGCATGTATATGTACACACCTATATGTATATATAGGTGTGTACATACCAAGAGCGCGTTCGGCGCGCTGGTCGAAGGCGCACTGCAAAATACACGTGGAATTGATCCCAGTCCCCAAGGCCCATCAAGCCTTCCATCCTTCCGGGGTGGACAAATTGGTACCAGACTTCTCTGGGAGGATAGCAACACTGGCTCGATAGATTGATAGACCACCGCGAGTCATTGTTAAGGCCAGATACGCACCTCCAAACGATTCTTAATGAAATCGAATGCATGGCGCAAATCTCAGGGATTGATCAACGCCGACAGCTTTATCCTTTTATCCCTACATATATATCATATATATATACATAGATATACATATAATATATATATCCGGGGCCCACTAAACCTCTCAATTCTCCGGAGTTGGGAAAATGGTATCACATTCGTTTGGGGAATCTTTGCACAACAGGAAGACCACCGACAAAATGAGTATATTTGTTCGCATGGAAGACAAATTTGATTGTGAGTTCTTCTCGCCCCGGGTTGAGTGGTTGTGAAAGATGCTCGTTGAGACTTTGGAGTGAAGAGAAACCAATGGGCTACTTTGGCACGCGATGAGAAGTGGAAGCTTCGGTAGCACTCGATACCCAACACGAGTACAGCTGCTATACGCAAGCAGAAGAAATTTCGCGATAATGGAATTTTTCCGAAATTTTTGAAACTGACTGGAATATAACCACAATCACGCTGAGATGTGAGCAAAAGTAAGAACTCCAGGCGAGCTTCCTACCCGCGATTACTGTTTAAGAGGCCCATGTCTTATGCACTACACCATCTATACCCTCCCTAACTTTACCCTCTTTTAGCCAGTTAGTGAGACAAACTTCTATTTAACATAATTCCTACGACAGCAGATAGCACAGTGGTTGTGATGCCGGTCATCACCATCACGGTACTCGTGTGATCCCGCGGCGGTGTCTGCAACATTTGTCCGGAAAAAATCACTGCTTGCAATCTGGCTGGAAACTCTCTAGCCCGGCTATCTCAGGACTCCAGTGAGAATCGACTCGACCAGTATTCTACAACACTCAAGATGAAATGAAAATCTTCAAGCAACAACCAAGACCACACCAAAAATGTTGGAAAACGAATGTGGGAAGCACTGTGATCAGCAAAGTAGGTGTGAACGCGGGCCATATAAAAAGTGAAAAACAAAATCACCACTATTATCTATCAAGTTCCCAATGAGTACTGCACCTATCAAGAATTCTGGTGACTACAAAGGAGTGAAATATCAATCTCAAATCGAGCTTAATCCTCGACGACCTTGTCTTTTTCATATTACTACTGATGAGCACCAATTTACGATAACTGGAAAGAGTAAACCTAAGGAACATATTAGTTATAGAACTTATCAATTTATCAATCCAATTCAAAAATCCTCAAATGATCAATGGGACTTTCGTGCAGCAAAATATTCTTGTATTTATCTGTAAACTCTTATTAGATGATGTTCGTAAACTTGTCAAGTTGAGCAGCGTAGTCGACGACCTTAATGGTGGTACAACTCGGCAGAAGCTCGAACTACAAGCTCCTATGAAATCTCACGAACAGCAACATATGCAGGGAATTTTCCTTGAAGGAGCTAATTGAAGGAGCGGGCTCCAGCATAACCTCCATTTTTTGGAGATTTTCTGGTCAAACCATTTTGCTTCCCTGAAATCCCGAGGTCAGCATGGCCAAAGTCTGCCTCTCTTCACCACCACAGGCAGTCACAGCTTTTGTGGATCAGAGGGAGATTTGCCACCAGGCAACTATGATACCAGGACGGTGGTGGATCCTGGTATTGGTGTACTTTTAGCTAGGTTTCCTGATAGAAACACCGGACTCTTTCACAGCTTGAGAGACCCTGCCAGGGAATGAATCCCCCGCTGTACATCGCAGTCCGGCACCCAGGAACACCCCCCAGCCACGAAGAGGCGGAAAGCCGTTGGGAGCAATCAAGTGACATTACGGAAAAAGGATCCGAGTTTACAACACTAGGCTATTTATCTCATATGTGTTTATTGACGAAACTATGGGCTTAACTGCGTCACTGCACTCCATCGATTGGGGTATGAATTGGTAAAAACGACTTTACAACGGTGAACCGTCTGCCCTTTACTGGAGTAGTAACGGCTATCCCATACGTAGTAAAAGTAAACTTTTCGACGAAAATGGAAATATGCTTCCTTATCAGGACGGGCGACACAACAGNCATTTTGCTTCCCTGAAATCCCGAGGTCAGCATGGCCAAAGTCTGCCTCTCTTCACCACCACAGGCAGTCACAGCTTTTGTGGATCAGAGGGAGATTTGCCACCAGGCAACTATGATACCAGGACGGTGGTGGATCCTGGTATTGGTGTACTTTTAGCTAGGTTTCCTGATAGAAACACCGGACTCTTTCACAGCTTGAGAGACCCTGCCAGGGAATGAATCCCCCGCTGTACATCGCAGTCCGGCACCCAGGAACACCCCCCAGCCACGAAGAGGCGGAAAGCCGTTGGGAGCAATCAAGTGACATTACGGAAAAAGGATCCGAGTTTACAACACTAGGCTATTTATCTCATATGTGTTTATTGACGAAACTATGGGCTTAACTGCGTCACTGCACTCCATCGATTGGGGTATGAATTGGTAAAAACGACTTTACAACGGTGAACCGTCTGCCCTTTACTGGAGTAGTAACGGCTATCCCATACGTAGTAAAAGTAAACTTTTCGACGAAAATGGAAATATGCTTCCTTATCAGGACGGGCGACACAACAGCCACAACCCTCGTCTGTCTAAACCAACAACCCCGCTACAATACGGAAGGCTGGAACACTACTGGAACGCACTGCTGGTTGACTGCAGTGGCTGCTTTTGCATGGTTACACCGTTCACCATTTAGCGGTACATCCCCATGGTCTGTATGGGTCTTATTTGAAACTAACCGCCTCAAATAATCTGTATGGATAGATTGGACTGTCACCTGAGGCTTTTATTCCTATAAACTGATCTTATTGCGCTGAAGCGAGGTTGGTATAGTTGTTGTTGCTGCTATGGTTAGTCGATGGCTGACGTTCCGGCGATTTCACCTCCCGTGCTGTTACGACTGGAAGTCCCAAGAACATGTAAATATATCGATTATTTATGCTGAGGTTTATAGGAAGTTGGTCTCTTGAGCTATTATGAGGCCGTTGTCTTCTTCACGCAGGGTACACTTTACTTCACATTCCTTCCCTACCTTGCTTCATAAACTTTAAGTGGATGAACATGTCAATCTTTGAAAGGTCATGTTATTAAACCTCAAGTATGTGATTCATCGGGATTGTGGAATGATGAACGATATTGTTCTTAATACAGCTCAGATATTATTTCTGGCGAAGTGCAGCATCCTCGGTGGGATTCATATCAAATGACGGGTGGAGATAATCGTTCAACTGAAGCCACAGCTGCGTGCGTAATTACTGGTTTACACACTCTTACAGATCACTCAAAGAGAGCTTCAAGAACATTTGAACAAGTTTTGAGGCAAATTTTCTCCATAGCGTTCCTTCATGTTTCTACAAATAATTTTAGGAACTTTGGTAGAGCAATAAACCTACCCTTTTAAATATAGTGCAGTTGAATATCGCAAACGACAAAATATAGAGGACATGTAGAACAAACTAACTGAATAACACAGATTCGACCACAGTTCGTCAACGCCATTTTCCAGCGAAGGCGAGTAGAACAGTGTGAAAGCACAAATGACAGCAGGTTCGGCTGAGAAATCGGCAAACCATCGGGGTACTTCCAGCTAATATCAGTCCTAAATGAGTAAAACCTACCATACATTTTAACAACAGTGAAATATCGAGGTTCCTAGTATAGTCGAAACTGAAACTCCAGTGAACAAAGACAAAAACAAGAAGCATTGATTACGTAGTTCACCAGAATAACCTATACTAACACATTCATAAGACTTTTATGCAATATTTACTCTTATTTCGCATGTCTTAGTATGTCTTAATTGTTTACTGCCTATTCTTTTTTATGCCAAGATATAACGTGAAACACAAAGACTAGGACGCTGAAATATTTGCAAAAATCGGACCCTAGGCCAGATTCGGGCCAGTGATTACCCTTTCCGAGGGCTTACGTCCCACCCGCAACACCCACTGACCACTTCTCTCAGCCATGCTTTTACTCTATCGGTGAGGGTGATCGCGAATTCGAAGTCCGCCTGAGGTTCCGAGTTCTGCTCATATCTCTGCATCCTTGTGACTGTATTTCACGTAGAATAACCCAATAAAAAAACAGGCAGTAAATAAAAGTAATGAGATTGTTATTTCAACTTCAGTTTCAGCTTAACTAGGTTTAATGCCGATTTATGTTCCCAGATCATTCCTGTTGAGGACTAATAAAACCGACAGAGTAAAAACACGGCTGAGAGAACGGCAACATGGACCTCGGTTGATGTAGTAGATAGCGTGTGAGTCTCGGTAAGGATAACAGCACATTCGTGACTCTTTGCACTACTTTTACCGCATGCATTGGTGAAGATTGCGCAGTATGACTAATCTCAGCGCAGTTTCTTCCATTCTCGATATAGATCCTTTGGGAGACCTGCACTGAAATGACGACTTCCTCGCCACATTTGTACTAGACATGGTCCAAGAAAAGCTATTTTGTATACATTGAAATTTATAAAAATTGCTCTTCGGTCGAGTTTTTAATATTCAAAGAACACAGACCGCTGGCGAGGAGAGCACTAAAATATTTTTGTTGTACTTGTAAATCGAAGTTCTCACAAATGTCTACAAAATAAGATTTATAAACGCCGAAGATCCACTGTTTTGTCACACATGCATATTTGCTTACAAATTCTTTGGAGATGTTAAATCAATGAACGTGAAACGTGTGCTCTTCATACGTTGCACTGTCGCTCAAATTAACTGCGAGACACGAAGTTTTCACATATTCATCTTGACACAACTTCAGCTTCAACAGGAATTTTTCAGAAACCGAACTGGGTCTCCAGTCATATCTCAACCGTGACAGCTTAAAAATTCTCATCTGTGTGCATAGTGCGATGAATCTCTTCACTTCTTCGATGGCGGCCCACTCACAAAGTTGGTCAAATGCACTTATCTGGATCAATCGGTTTCTTTTCGAACCAGATCTCAAACAATCATAAACATCAAACTGAAATAGCTGAGAGACGTGCGAAACAAAGGACCCGCATGGTGTGGTGGTGAACGCGTTACTCCCCGGAAAGGACAATAGCGCGTTCGTTCCCCACCATAGACACCTGCGGTCCAGAGTTTTGCAAATATCTCAGCAACGTTGTGGTTGAAATATATTACTTCCGTGTTTGCAAGCAACTGTCGATTCACATCACACATCACACTGAGGTCACTAAAGATCTAAATGCCACAATATGCAACACAATTCCACCACTATCCCGCTGAATTCAGCGTCATCCTGTCATCCTTTAATTCACTTCTATCAGTCTTTTCATGAGAAACACAACAGATGCACCACGTTGAGTGGCCTGTATCAGTACACTGCCATCTTTCACGAGAGATAGAACATTTCAAAAGCATGGAAGAATATACGGTAAAGCATGGAGGATATAAAAGAAGTGTAACGAAAAAATCAATAAGATGGAATTATAGAAAAAAGGTACAACGATGGTAGTCGGTTCATCCTCTTCGTGAGTTGTATACTCAACCGTATGCAGACACTGCGCATAGTGAAACTAGGCAAAGCCACAGACTCGGCCCGCCTACGAACACTAGGTGTAGTTCCCAAGATCGACTTTCTCTTAACCTCGGCATTGGAATATGAATATGTCGTTTTCTTGTTCAGCAATCGCGAGGTTTTTAAACAGCATACATTTACTTCCATAAAAACACAATACAATACAACGCTAGCTGACGTTTCGGCAGTATCGCCTTCTTCAGAGCCGCCTTTTCGTGACTTCCAATGAGGAAGTTTAGAACAGCTGATTATAGTCGCATGTGGTTGACGACTCTGTGTAGTTGTGAATGTTTTCATCCCGTTAAACATGGAATAACTCGGGCGGGAACAAGTAGAAATGCCGTTCGTCTATGTCGCACATCAGATCATCCACTGGGTCCTATTTGCTTGGGATGATATTTCCTACGATGTGATGCAGCCTTACTATATCTCATGAGAGAGCATTTATAGGCAGTTTCACAATTCTAAAATAGGTTATGAGGATATCAATGAGCAGCCGGCAGAGTATTACTAGAGTACACGTGACATTTATATGTGAGAGATGACCATAAACCAACGCGTCACTTAGGGCTATGACTATCCTGCTCGTTCGGAGAGCCTCTCTGGACATCCCTCACTTCGGAGTGGTCTAAAGATACAGTAGCCCAAAAAGCGTTAAGTTTTTAAAGCAGCACAGGGCAACATTAAGAGGCAATAGAACGTTGTAATAAAAGTTCTACTTTAAAGAAAAGAATATAAAATGCATTTAATATTGAAAGAGCTGGAAACGTCACCGATTTGCCAGAAAGATCACAATCGCTGGTACCCGCTCAAAATTAAAGTTGTACGGCAGTTCATTTCGTGTAGTGTCAATTCTAAATACGAAATACTATTGTTGTATAAAATTATCTTAGATACAACAGATAAAGTCGTAAAGCCAAGTTATTAGGACGCACACGTAAAACTTTATGAGATCTCCTGATGATGAAAAATAACTAGCGGTGTTGTGATACACGTGCATAGCAATAGTGGACGGTGCGTGCCAAATTCCTCCAGAAAAAAAGACAACAACGTCGTGAGAGGTGTTATGCTGTAAATACAACTATTGATTGATATCAAAGAAGAAAAGGAAATAGAAGGTACTTCGAATAAACCTCAAAATTCTAATAGGTCTAATGAAGAACATGGAAAAGAACTCATTTCATTTTGGTACTCATTTTACTATCGCCTATACGACTGCTTGTTTTTTTTTTGATGCTAAATGTTTATATGCAAGGTAGGTCCCCATAACCGAATCCTGACTATCCATTTTTCTGTTTAATGCATTCGCAACGATATGTGCGATAAATTACCCAATCTCCTTTCTAAAACTTCTCAGCTTTTTTTGCAGTTTTTTTGCTACATATTCAACCGTTAGCATTCCCATTATGTTCCGCCAAATAGAAAAAACAAGAAAACTTATGAATTAGCAACCCTGTACAAGGAGCTGTCGAGAGGCTCGGGAAAACGAACGAACACGAACTAACAATTTTATTGTAAACTATAGACTGCAGAAATTGAAAGTAGTTATCGAACTATGACTATAATATCAATCATAAAAAAATCTATTTGGTATAAGTGTAGCATAAAAGGTTTGCGCCAAAACGAAACAATTGCAAAAAATTCATAAAATCCATGCGCACTGGTCTCAGTGTGTAATTCAAATAAAGATTATCCGATTCTACACATATCCGCTACCACGATGTAGTTTCCTTATTTCACAGCGATGGAATTCCAACCTTCTGAATCTCAGAAATCGCTTTTCTATAAATAGCCATCTATTTCGACCGTCATCGCGATTTAAGAAACAAAATTCCGTCCTACAGCATATAATAATATCTCGAAATGTACAGCTAAGGCTTGTAGTCCTCGAACTTGTGTTAAAAAAGAAGAAGTTCAAAACTCCGTTATTTGGGACTAAAAGTTTAAGCTTGGATAAGTTTAACACGGGTATATTCTAAAAGAACAAACCATCCATACACTCAGATCCATATTGAAAGGATAAGAAGCTTTATAAATTAAATATAATCCTATTGCACCTACCCTGCTCTCAATCAAGGGATGGAATGTCCGCTGTGTGAGCCGCTCAAGAACTTGCGTTCTTTTTTTACGTGCAGGACGTTTCTCTAGAAGGATGTTGTTCTCCTTGACAAACCTAAAGTTATTAAAGGTTTCCTTCATGTTTTCAAAATAGCCATTACGGTGCTAGATATTTCAAAAACTCTTTGAATATGACAAAATCTTATTTTGCAATTGTCACTGAAAAACCGAAGTACCTTTGGTAAAACACTAAGCGTTTAAAATAGAACACTTGGACCTACCGTGACCGACCGTCCTCTTCACTAACAAGATTGTTCGGAATTAACTTGGAATGGTAATCGAGAATGAAGTCGCGAACTCGATTCCTAAAGACGTAAATAAAGAATTACGCGTTCGAAAACCAGAGCTAGAAAATACGTTTAATTATTGAACATAAGCGTTAAATATGGATACAAATTACTGCGAGAATCGCCCATTCATGACAGAAAAGAGCTCGCGACTGGCGTCGATGGCAATGATTACCGGCAACTGTAAAATTCTTACTAAGATTTTTCCTCAATGATGAAAAAATTGGATATAAAAAGAAACATAAGCAATAATGATGAATACCAACCTGTACATTTCGTAGACCCCATTTGTTCAAAAAATACTGATAGTGAAGTGAATCAAGTATAACGAACGTCAACGTGTCGTTCACCTAGAATGATCACGGGTATAATTTACGAAGACACATTCTGAATACTTCTCAATGGAAACTGACGTCAGACTAATGTGAATTTTTGCAAAAAAAAGCAAACTGAACTAAAACTAAACTAGCGTCAAACTAATAGAAAAAATAACATAATTGCAAATAAGTACTACCAACCGAGTACTTTGTGCAACGCAGTCCTCGAATTGAACCTACATTTGGAAGCGAATCGTTGAACAAGTCAAGGCTCTTAAAACTCAATAGTAATCGGAAACAATTTAAAAACATTCTCTATTAGTCCCTAATAAAGCTTTTACAGCAATGCGAACGACGTGTGACTATCGAGATGAGGAATGTTCTACGAAATCCAAGTACACAAAAATTATAAACAGATATGCTCCTTGTGCAGTGACTGCTCTATGACCGCTTCGAGGAACTTATCGACAGCCTAACAGTGCCACTATGTACGACGGTTGTGAGAGAAAACAACGAGTGGCAAATGTGCTCGGGTCTGCATAACTCGGGAAAGGACCGTCCAAGTATCCAAGTTAAGTAAGTAACAGTGCCAGTTTGTCGTTTTTCCAGAAGGCATTGAAATCATATAACCTACATGTCACCGAATGTAAAACTACACCAAACAAGCTCGAAAACATCTAATTAGAGTGAAGTCCTCAACGGACAAGTTGTTTGGAGAAAAGGAATTCCCACCAAGACGAATACACCCTTGTTTGCATTCGAGGTCAACGAAGCGTCTAAATTTTCCCTAAATCCTGTGTAAATCCTTCCTTTAGAGAAGTAGACGGTAGAATAAAGAACAAAGCGTTTACCGTTGACCAATCCTTTAGCGATGTTCCATGGATATTATGTGTCAAGGCAACGGTTCTTCTCAGACAAGTGTCCTATCAATTTGCTGAAACCCGAAGAACAGAGAGCTTGGTTCACCCGCGTAGTGCATCGAACCAATAACCCTGTGTGTACTGCGGAGCACCTCTAAACACAATACTACACGCGCCTAACACTATCATAGGCTCAAATTCCCGTGTTGATTGAATTTTAAGTGAAAAAATTTGAATATCAGAATTGCCTTTAGCATTTTTCGATCACCGTTCATGGTGGTGATGTATTCCGAATATCGTAAGTATCAACCCATAAGCCCATAAAGTTGTTTTTGTGCCGACCTTTCTTCACAGTTGACAAAAGCCAAAAAAGGTTGGTATTTCCGACAAAATTCTGTAAACCTGGCAACGGTCTGGATGCGATATATGCAGCACTTCGTCGAAATCCTACCCTGCTTAGTCATCCGATTGATACTCATTCTTCATACAGCACACTGTAGGCTTGATAAGATAATGTTTGTGAAGCAAATGCAGAGGAATTAACGAGAAACTAATGAAGCAGCAGCGAAGATTCTTCTCGTTGACTTTCGTGTGCAAAACAACCTTGTCTGAGGTCAGCTATTGGTCTAAGATTCCGAATAATTTCCTATCTATTTAGACTTCATAACCTACTTATTTGCACATTTTGCTAACTATACCTATTACTTAGTTTGTTTACTTACTATAGCAACCACATACATCACCCATACCATTTGTTTTCTCGGTAATGACGTAGTAAGTTTACAGGGTAGACCGTTTTTAAATGTGTCGAGCAGCCAGTGGGCTCTGCTCGCTCGACCGATATTAGGAGTATGGCATTATCTAGTATGACAGCATGACATTATAAAATTAGTGTAGCAAACCTATGAACACTCGTAGCCACGATGAGGTAGTAAACTATTAGAAAGATTCTGAAGTAAATAAACAGATAAACGACATATGGGCGGGTCGATTGCGGAAACACAGTGTTCCTCTGGGGTGTTTCGAAACACTTTTGACTAAGGACCAAAAACTCCTCTTTTCAACTTAGTCACACAGCTCTACCTAGTTGAGACCTAAGTTCACACCTCAATTATATGAGGAATTCTGAGGTCAATTTACATAGAAAATGAACAATGTCTTCTGAAGTATAATGCTCACACAAAATATTCCTTTCAGACCCTCAAAAAATATCCTATACTCAAGCGAACTCATTTGGAAAGCAAAACACAGATTAGTCTATCGAAAAACGACGACAGTTGACGATAACATGAAGAACAACAGTTCTCAATGAGAACTACAACGAAGTAAAAAGGACAAAATAAAGGATAAAGCTCTCGGCGTTGATCAATCCCTGAGGGATGCGCCATGCATTCGACTTCATCAAGCATCACTAGAAGTGATTGGATGCATATCTCGTCTTTACAATGACTCGCGGTGGCCTACCGATGTATCAAGCCAGTGCTGCTATCCTCCCAAGATGACAAGTCTGGTACTAATTTGCCGACCCCGGAGGGATGGTAGGCTTGGTGGGATATGGCCGGGATATGGATTCCACGTTAGTGTTGCATGGAGATCGCCATCATAAAATTCGAAACAGCTACCGCCATAGATGAGAACTAAGAAGGTAGCAAATGGATGGAAGATCTGATCATGATCTGCACAACTCGACAAGGCGGGCTATCAAATTATCGAAGTAGATAATTCCATCAGTACTCCAGGACTCGCCCCAATACAATTATGCCAGAGCTGAATCTTTACGTAATATCAAAGTCTAATTGCGAGGTTACTCAGAGAAACTTGGAGTCTTGCTTTTTTTTCCAGTTACAATGAATGAATTAGAGCATTAAAATGTCAACAATCCTTACCGCTGCCCTTTTCGTTTCCCTTCCAATATTTTAATTCCCTACCATTCTTAACTCTGAATTATAGCTCAAATCTCTAATACATTTGATAGAAATGTGAACGAAGTCCCAGATCATCTTGTCATTTTCAGTAATTTCCAGAATAAAAACCCAACACAACCGTCTTACGTCTATCTTAAGTGCGGATAGACTGAATCGAAAACACATACCTCGTTGACCATAGGATACTTCATATATTCGAATAAACGACCTCGTGTGCATAAATCTACCAGCTTCAGTTCTTGATCGTGAGTCAATTTTAGCACTGAAAAGAGGTCGTTTCAAATTATTAGGGCCCCAATGCCAACATTGAAAATGATGCATCCATACCTGCTATATAAAAACGAAAACAAAAACTACGGGTAGGTGCAACAAATGATTTAAGGAAAAACAGTTAATAATAGTAAACTCAGCAATATGATATAGATATGCATTTAGAAAGGAGTACAAACGAGCTCTATGAGGTTGAACACATAAATTAGACTAAAAACTCGAACCTGGAATTTTAACGGTTATAAAAATTTCTGCTTCTTATAGAATACTCACATCGACAAGCCGAAAGTTACTGAAATCTAGCAAGAATACATAGACCACCGTTTTACCTTTATCGACCTAGAAAAGGTCACTGACCTCTAAGGGAGCAGGAGGAAGCAACACGCTTGGGAAGCATTCAAAAGCGTTGAGGATGTTGTGAACATCCGACTCTGTACAGACCTCTTCAAATTCGAGATTCTTCTTGTATTAACATACAGGTAGGAAGCCTGGTGGTCACTACGTGGGCAACATGAAAGACTATTTAGCGCTATAGATCGTTCATCCGACAAGGCGATATGGGAGTACCTCACGTCACGCAAGCGAAGGATGCAATCCACATTTCCCACCTACGTCAACGCACGGAGATCAACGACGCCGCCGTGCATGCTAAAATGTCGAAAATGAGGTGACTCGCCCGATTTTTGAACTGATCAAGAGGCAATGGGCCTTAACGACAACTGGGACCGTTAGCGATTTGACTACTCAAAACTCAATGGTTAGAAGTCCTCATGAAGAATTTGTAGGAAAAACATGATGGTCAGCGCTAACAGGAGCCAACGGCTAATAAACGCGACAGAAACAAATGAAGACACTACTGGCGCGTGTTCAAGGAGTACCAGATGACAGTACATAATTCCTGGGCGCTTTTGAGAGTACAAAGCAAATATAATTGATTTTTCATTCCGGCAGATTACAATTCACAAGGATTCGTTACTGAAACGAGTTCCTTCATCCGAATCCACGGTGATTTTCCTGTTTATTGTAAACATGGAGTACCACATACCGTTAGTGGTGCGCAACGTGGTAAGATGTCACAGCAGCATTTCCACATTTCCATACTCACGGACATTTATATGCTACTATAACATAGGAAAGTACTCAAGCATATACATAGAAATGAATTATGGATGAAAGAAGGGTTCTTGTAGCGCAGTGGTCTGAGGAGCTCTGCAATACACTGGTGTCGATCTCCGCCCCAAGCCCAGCAACCTCTCCCTATATCCGAGGTCGGCAAATTCATACGACTTGTTTGGCAGGACAGCACCACTGGCTCGATACATCGGCATGCCACTGCAGGATACTGTAAAGGCCAGATATGCATTCATTCACCTCCAACGATGCTTAATGAAGTCGAATGGATGGCGCATACCCTCAAGGATTGATCAAAGACGAGAGCTTTATCCTTTATTTAATCTTTACGAACGAATAGCAGGCGTTAGCAAAATTACTAGTTGTGGGAAGGAATCACTCATCATCTTGTTTTTAAAGTGCTTTTTTAAAAACATTAAAGACTCTCACTGTTATTCTTACAATCTTTCGCTGATGATATAAACGTCGCACTTAAATTTAGATTACAATATAAACTCACATTCTCCACATAAATTTTACAATATTTACAGCCTACTACTTCTACAAATAAAATTTTCTGTGCTCATTATTGAAAAAAACTAAATGCGGATACTTCTTGTATTAGCTGCATCTAGTACCGACCAGCTTAGTATGTTTGGTAGCAGATCGGAAGTGGTTAAACCTTGGTAACTACCACATCGTAGATTCAAAACACATGATACGTAGGAAGTAAGAAAAAAATAAATTCTTTTACATGATCCGAAACCAAATGTGTGAATGTGAACACTTTGCATTCGATTCAAATCCATGATAGACAAAGACGTTCGGACAGGCCTGTGGATTCGGCTAGTGCTTAAGCACTTTTGGTCTTTTGAAGCCGCTGAATGGTAGTCGATTCGATTCTCAATGGAACCCTGCGATAACCGTTCTAGAGTATTCGCAAATCTTCATCAAAAACACTGCCCGGCACTAGTTTATGGGAAGGGATGACTTTATGCCGCACGGATTTGGTACAAATTTCCCCACTTCGAAGGGATGGGGACCCAAGAAGGCCTGATCGGGGTCAAACCAGCGCCGTGCTCGTAATTAACGGCATTACTACCACATCGTAGACTTCTCTGGAAAAACTTCCCTTCCTACAATCAAAGTGTGAAGGCTCTAGCCTGGTTATATCAAGACTCGAACGAGAATCGACTCCACAAGAATTCAGTGGCATTCGTTATGAAAGGAAAATCCTCATCCCACACTAAAGCCACAAGCAAAAAGTTGGTAGACTTTCGTGGATAATGGATGCGAGAAAACGAATCGAGTCCAAGAAATGTCGAGATCCGGACAGTAATTATAAAGTACGTGTCGTATGGAAAAAAATTTATTAATTTCAGGATGTTACTTCTCTCTTGCTCACAAATAAATTTAGAGCCAAAATTCCCATTAAAGCTAAAGATGAAGTTTAAATCTTTGAGATTTCCAAGAAGAGAAAAAAAAGGTACGGGCCTCTCCGCAAAAGATGATTAACAAAATACGTTCCGTATCCGTGGATTCTAAAAAGGTGAAATTTAGAACTACTAAAATGAAAAAAAGCTTGCGTTTCGTAGGTGAAGATATGTAAAATTTTTGTTTATATTGATAAGGATTACTACCATCTGCGTTCTAGTTTAAAGTAGAAAGTGGTCATTATTTTAGCTCCGAATTCGGTCAATTCGAATAGTCAACACATGTGTCGAATGTTATGTGCTAAAGATGTAAAAGATTGCATTCAAAAAAAAAAAACAAATAGACCGCAATTATGGCCAGCAAAAATTTAAGGTAAATAACAAGTGGAAGCGGAGAGAACATCTCACCATTTGCCTTGTGTGTCGGTGTCAACTCATGCCGAGAAAGGCGTTCATAATACGTGCAGCATCGTGATAGGACAGTATCTATAGTACCAATGTGAAGGATGCGCAAAATGTTACCTTTTTGAGACAAGATTTCCACATATACATATATATATATATATAAATACATATATATATATATATAAATACACATGTATGTACATATGTGTATGCAGATATGTATACGTATATGTATATATGTATATATACATATGTATATATGTATATATGCAATCATAAAACAATTTGTATACAACGTGCTTGCATTTAAGCTCGCATTTCGCACTGCCACGCACTGCTTCGTTGCAGCGAGCACTTGTTCTGTCCAGTGACTGCGTGTGCGCCGTGACTCCTTATGTCGTTTTTCAACAAGTGTGCTCATCTCTTCGTCCTCCCAATGATATTTGCTTGACGAAGCGCATGCTATATTCCAGTCCACAGTTGGCAATAGCGAACGGCAGCACGAGTCCATCTTTAAATAATTGTGGATGGAGCCTTTCTGTACATTCCCAGTATGAGGAAATAAAGCTTGACATAAGAAAAACTACATGCTAAACACAGAAACTAAGTATCCCGTAGACAGAAACGATATATTCAAACGTTAAGCCTACCTTGGCTACGTCATCAAGGAATTCAGCACATGCTAATTTATCACTTGATGCCTCCTGAGAAAAAGCTCTGGGTACAACACGTTCATCCTCAGTTGGTATTACCGATAACAAATCGTTGTTGTCACAGTTCCAATATTCCCTTGCTAACTAAAACGTATCTTCTAAACCTGCAGTTACAGCTTAGCAAACACGTGCAGTGCCACCCCACTCTACAGTAATCAGTGGGCTGCGTTTTCCAACAATCGTATGATGTTAAGAAAAAGTTATTACCCATCATGTGGCAGTCAACATCAAAAAATTGTTGCTTTAATATGGTCTGCCGTTGATTAGTTGATATGAGATTGTTAACTCGATTATTAGTTCTCAACGACTAACCTGTCAGCAACATCGCCTTTCTAGAGCTTATTTTTCCATTTATTTATTTTATTTGATCCGTCTTCACATCTACTGTGCGGATACCAGCATTTCTCACATTCTATTCGTTTCCTCTCATCCACTGTTCACGAAGATCTTCCAACTTTTACTTGCGGCTTCAGAGCAGCTTATACATTGATAAAAGATAATCAGTGGTTGAGAACTAAAGAACGTGTTGACAACCTTATATCAGCTCATCGGTACCACCCTACGGTAACGGAAAGTAGGTTTTAATATCACACATCAATCGCTACATTTATTTTAAAATGTTCCACTTTGATAAGTGTTCTTCAAAACTAACGAGAGAAAAGAGATGTTCTTGATTTGATGGTTGCGATCATAAACAAACCCCAAATAAATACTTCTTATATTACCATATTCTCCATTCGATGGTGTATCGACATTTGACCATTCCACTTTGCTTTATATTGTACCAAAATATTTCGTTAAGCAGTTATGTTGTTGAAGTGATTACAAATTAGTTGGTGCGTAGAGTCAAATCGTAAAAAAATGTTCAGTGTCAGTGAATCCGCAAGAAATGCCTCATGTATTCATCTAAACCAACAACCGCACACGAATGAATGCGCATTTCTTCAATAGTATTACCTTTGGTGGCTAATATATGTGTCAAGGCAGACATTTCACCCTTCCAGATAAGTGCGGCTGGAATCAATCCACCGAATTCTGTGGTGAAGTCATTCAACAGCTTCAAGTTTTTGGTAAATAGTTGCTGGTGATGCTGGTAAGCGTATGACGTTAACGTTGAGAACGAATGAAGCGAGGCAAAGTAGAAGAAACAAGTTTGAGTCGACATATTGGAGGAACGATTAGGAAACGGAAATTCTCACTGCCTTTGCTTCATGAGTGAATCCTTCAATCCATAGCCATAATAGACCAAATCGATCTTCGACTAAATACGAACACCTTATCCTTCACCATATGTTTTTGCCGAAAGATCACTTCGAATAGATGCTAATTTTTACGGTAGGATTAAGAGATTTTCTTGAAGACTTGCTCTGCTACTAATCGAATTTACGGCCCCGTGTTCACTGCAGGGTACCTCTGCGACTGAGCTATACACACTCATTTTGACTTCATTACTGTCGAGAGTTTTGAATTAACGGTAGCAAGTAAATGTCTCCCGTTCAACACTAAACCCACAGTTGTTATCTACTAGTAAACGTTAGTGTATCAAAAGTGAGTAAAAAAACGACTTCTAAAACATTGTTACTTCGAACCTGTTCTCTTGTTATTTATTTCAGGATACCACGAATCTGCAACTGTTTAGATACTGCTATTTACTCCCACGACCGACTTTCTATTAACCTCGGCATTGATCAAGTAATTCTTCGTATTTTTGTTGAGCAAACGCGAGGTG